CTAATTTTAGAACCCCCCCCCTCCAGATAATTATTGCACAGTCCCTAACCCCTTTACCCACCTAAATAATGGCTAAAGAAGATAGGCAAAGGTGTAAAACGAGCTAAAAACGCCTATACAGTCATATTGCTATCGCTTTGTATTTTCTGTGTTATCTATACCTTCTTTTCAAGTTTTGACCCGTCATTTTCATGTTTCACTCAGTTTCGTGCTGTTCACACGGTTTAAATTTTGATAAATTTCGTGACACATATCCTTTGAGTCCCAAACGGAACTAAACATAACGTAACTTACTTGCCACTGTCGCCGTTCCATATTTTCACAGACTTATCAAATGCTGCACTTGCTATTAGACGGCCATCGGGTGAGAAACTAACTTGGTTTATTAAAGCCTGGTGACCTGTCATTCGAGCTAAAGGTTTTTTGCTTTCTTCTGGATCCCATAGAAAAAGAGTAAAATCGTCTGAACCCGACACCAATCGCTCTCCTCTTCCACCCTGTACAACATTAAACAAAAATAGATTGAGTTGATGGTCAACAATAACACTCTTCGCTCTTTATCTTGAGGAGAAACTTAAGCTTTCCCAATGAACGGTTTCGGAAGTGTTTGCTGTTTACTGAAAAATTCCGAAGATAGATTGGGATGGTCGTACTGATCAATGTTTATGAAGTACTTCTAATTAAAGTTATCGGCTACACAGACATTCTTTAGGCCGATACAAACTCCTACTAACATCCGTTGGGAAGAATTGTTGCTTTACGAGCCAAAAGGGCGACTTCTTAGAAAGATTCTCCGAAAGTTCGTCTTCAAGTTATATGACGACCCAAAAGATAAAAATAATTAAAATAATATGGAAAACCGTACTTGAAGAATCACTTGCAATCTCTCGACCAAACGTTAACCAAAATGTCATTTTCCCCTCCCATGTTGGTAACCCATTTCTGAACAGCTTATAGATGGTAGTAATCTTAGTAATATCATAGGTGACGAATTACTCCTTAATTTTGGGGCGAAATTTCAGCGATAATTTGTAATTTCACATGTGAAATTACAAAATTGCCATGGCAACCTTCCGTACGTCTCAGTGTCAAGATGGTGACGAAAGTTTTAAAATGTCATGAATGAAGATGCCAGGGCGCAAAAAGACGCTTTAGAAAACCTGAGCACGCGAAAGAGCACTTCAAGAAGGATTCTAACAGGTATTTTGTCGAAAAATTCTGAACTTAAGCCAAATTTAAGCTCTAAACGTTTGAGAGAGTTCAGGAGTTCTCGATCGATACGATCCAGGAAAAACATGTCAAAAATCCAAGATAGCAAACGTAATTCGTCACCTATGATATTAATAGGTAATCAAATGGTATACTAGTAAAATTAGGGAATAATTTCACTTGCGTTTTGTCCAAATCCTAATAATTTCCCTCGCCTAAAGGCTCGGAAATTATAAGAATTTGGACAAAACGCGCGTGAAATTATTCCCTAATTTCACTCGTCACCATTTGATTACACATACTAATCTTCCAAACCTAAAGCAGAACTCAAACACTGGCAGTCATTCCAAAAATGGAAAACTTTGAGAGTACATGACATGGTCTTGATGTAATCTTCATTTGCGATCAACTCTGGACGTACGTCACACTGTTTGGTACCTTTCTTTGCCGTAACCGCACGACTAATGACGCAAAATTTCCTTAATGGGACGTTTTAAGGTGGACAAAAACACAGGACAATTTCCTCTTTCTCTTTCTAAATAACTCAGCTCCAGCAAAAGTTCTGACAAACTGAGTGACTTGAAATGATGAAATTTAACTGTTACACAGATGTGACAGACATAGTTGCTAAACTGCTTGCTTGTCTTTTCTCTTAAAATCCGTTGAGTTTTCATCCTACGCAGCGCGTTTTCAAACATAAAACGACGTCGGAAAGAGGCATTTTTTTTGTTCCTGGGCTTACACCCTTGTTTATTGCCGCTTACGAGCATGGTTTACAAGTAGCCTTTAAAGTAAAAATAAGAGACAGCTCGCATTCTACGTAGTTGCTTAAGCTCCCAGTTAATATTCTTATAATCTCATACCTTAGCTTCAGTGTATCTTTCCAAAGCTTTGTCTTTTAGTATAGAACTGTCAGTAGTAACCTCATATGCAGTGCTGCCTTTTGATGGATCAAAGGCACCTGTTCTTAGTGCATAGTCTGTGTTCAGTGCTAAGTGGTTGACCTGTAGCACAATGAAAGAGGAACCCATTAGTAAGATATTTTTAAAATACAGTCGACTCTAAGATGGACACCTCTGGGACTGGCACTGTGTGTCCATCTTAGAGAGGTGTCTGTCTTACAGGCAAATCCTTGTTTATATTTTTTGCCTCATTGATATATGCTATGAAGCTAATAAAATAACATCTTTGAATATTGAAAGAGCATAACAATTTCAGTTATCTCTGAAAATTTTAGTCCGAAAGACCAAACAGTTCCAGAGAAATTCTCTTTGAAAAACCCCGAACTTTATAAAGAATGTATGAGCTCATTAACGTTTTTGCCACCCAGCAATTTCGCAGTTTGTGATTGCCTGTATTTCCTTTGTTATTGATTGCAAATGGCTAAAAATTGCACAAACTGCTCAAATTAACCAGCTGTGTCAACTTTTGAACCCAATTTGTACATGCGGTGATGTCTTCTATGGGTTGAACTTGTATGCTAATAACCAACAATGTAAACAGTGAAATTAGCAAGGATTTGCCTACAGGGAGTCTTGTCTATTTGAGTGAGGTGTCTGCCTTATAGAGGTGTCCGTTAAGAGAGAGTTGACTGTAATCCCCATTTATGTTTAAAATAACTTCTGAATACAGATTGACACCTCTGACAAATTGTCACAGCAGATGGTTAGTTCCAATAATTGGAGGTAAAATATTCATTTACCAGACAGAAGCTTGGAAATCAGCCTTTCTTTTCTCTGTAAAGCACACACTAGAGTTCGCACCTTTAGTGTCCATACTAAGGATGTTTGACTAGAAAGTCCATACCCTCTCATTACGAACACCTCTATATATTATGGAGAGTTCAGCTGGTCCCTAAGATGTCTACCTTCATACAATCCCTATATCTATGGCACACACACCTCCATAAAGTGGACACTAAAATCTGTCCCTGTGGTGTCTGTTATTAAAGACATTTGAGAGGACACTCAAATTTTTCGTTATCGACACTTCTATAATTAATATCATTATTATTATTATTATTTACCCAGACGCTAGGCTGCATACCCTCCCTACCTCCATAATGCACTCACTTCTGTAATGTGAACACTCAAATCTGTCCCTGTGGTGTCTGTATTAAGAAGGTTTGACTGTGTTCATGTTAAAGGTATACACTGTACTTACCCAGTGAGCATGCCCTTGCAGTGTTCTACATAACACACCCTGAGAAACAAACAAAATGACAGCACTGTCATATGCACATTACACATGAAGGTTTGTGACTTGGTTTGCCTTTACATGAAGGCTACTCATGAGAACAATGAGAACAAGACACACAGAGGACTGAAGCTTCCTCTGTAACTTAGTTTCTACAGCAAAGAAATGAATAAGGAATGTTGCTACTCTCACACTAATTAGAATTCATGAAATACTCCCTGTTACACATCGCAGAATATGTAGAATATGCAGCTTTCTGATTGGCTGTATCCTCTATGGCATGGGATAAATTACTGTATTTGACTTGCCAGCATTATGTGGGCAGAACCAACTGTTAACATCGCTGGATGTCAGTGATCAAAATGCATAATAATATTTTAAGTCAGCTCAGTAAAGTTCCAAAGGTTATGTGGAAGAATTTGAAGGTGACGTATTACATGACTCTTGATGTGATGCCCAATTCTCAATCACCTTCGCAAGCAAAGACATGGTAGTTTGAAGGGGTTATCTAGCAGCTAACCAAAAATCACAGAGGACCAAGAGGACCTCAATGTAGCCCTTCAAAGTAATAATCATTACCAATTACTCTTTTTATCATTAATCAATTAATTACTTTGTACTCACATCTTCTGCTCTCCAGACCTTGATTGTCCTGTCCTGGGATGATGAATAAATAAGACCCTCACCTCCCCATCTGATGCATGTCACTGATTTAGTGTGGCTTGAAAATGTTCTTATTAACTGACCAAGGACAACATCCCATATTTTTATTGTTGTATCCTACAGGTGCAAAAATCACAGGAAGACATTTGTTCAATTTCATCCTTGATTCCATTTTTCAATGGGAAATAAAAGATGATCTAAGTGCAAAATTGAATCATCATGGCATGTACATATAATATGATTGTAAAAACAACAAACAGTGCAATAATACTTAAGGAGCACAGCATTAACAACAACTAACAAAAGCCTGACACAAAGACCAAGTATTAGACTTGCCTTTGACGAACTTGCCAGGAACCTACATTCTGGATTACTGAAAAAGAAAATTTAATATTCTAATTAATGAAGTCTATTTTTTTTGCTATAATGCCAGTAAATCAATTCTGTAGATAATTATTATGGTCTCTGCAACTGAATGCTGTCCAATTTTTTTTTTTATTTGAGACTTGTCCTAAGAACAGGGTAATCCTAAAGCTCTGGATGACCAGCAAAATCGTGTTTTAGTCTACTAGAGAAAAATTTTTTTGGAGAGCAATAATAATCACACTTCTTTAGGTGAAATGAAACGTGATGTAACATACACCATTAAATGTGAGCAAAGAAAGATGCCGTTCTCGTGGCTAAAATTCTCTCCTTGGTTGTGCAAAATGCACTTAAATTCAATTTTTTCAACTTGGCTCCAAAAATCAAATTTTTCCTGAAAAGGGCCCCAGATCTTACCAGTAGAGGGGAAGGGGGTTAGCCCTTTTCCACACAAACTCCCACATGTGGGGGCCTTTCCATCCAATCTATTACCACCTATTTAACTTTTTTCTCCTTCTTACATGGAGGACCTTTTACTTTAACCCTGTCACCACCCCTGTGTAATATAATAATTCATCTAATTCACTCACACTTTCATTGACTTTTGAAAAACCACCCCAACTCCTGCGTAGAACTGTAGTTACAAGAAAGAATTTTTTGTAATAGGGCCAAGTTAGTGGACGAGTAATTTACATAATATACCTGTGAAGGGGTTGCCAGCTAAGCCATGTTATCCATTGTAAATGTCCTTTTAATATTTTTCCTAGTTGCCTTCCTGTTGCTGGATCCCATATTCTGATCTATAAATCAAAAATAATAAAACAAAATAAAAACTTAACCTTAAAAACAGTTTGTATAACTCTTGTAGTCAGCAGTGTGATTTTTCTCTGACCACATCTATTAACTAATAATATTAACAGAGAAATATTTTGTCATTTAATTTTATTACAAAACACAATTACATTATTAAATAGTTTTCAGCAAGCTAATACAGATACAATTTTTGCATGAGATTACTTGGTCTGACCTCTCCATTTTTGCACCCAGAAGCAAGCTTTTTACCATCTGGAGACCATGCTATATGTAATATCCAGTGTGAATGACCTTGAAAATTAAAAATAAAAAGGCAAATAAGTTGTTTTTAGTCAACACGGGTGTGTTCCCTTGGTTATAACTGGTTAAGATCATAATATTGGTCAGTAACTGTGGGTGGGGGTGAAAACTCAATACCCCCTTATTTCCATAAAAAATGTTCCAATTTGGGACAAGCTTCAAGTGCCGCCTCTTACCTCACAAATGTAAAAAAAGGCATTTTCCAAGCGCTAATATGAGTATTTTCAGTCAGTTGTTCACTTAACTTCGAGATGGTGCCATGTAATGTTATTTTTATTCATTAACAGTTGACGGGAGGGAATATACTCTTGGGTGTGATTTGAAATTGTTGTCACATTTAGATAGAATTCACTATTTTTTTTCTCTCAAGTTAACATGCCATTATGCACCTCTCCCGCTTTATCATAAACCGGAGAAAATAGCCAACATTTTGTGCCGCAAATGGTTTCCCTGAAAAATGACATCAGAGAAATGAGCGCAGAAATCACTACCCAGATCTGGGCAGGGCTTCTGATTGGTTGGAAATTTGCTTCATCCAATCAGAAGCACTATCTAGATCGGGTTACTGACACATCATCAGTAAGGAGTTTCTGCACTCATTTTTCAGACGGCATTTCATTGGGTCAGAGACCACCGGTGGCATCACAAAATGTCTGCTGTCTTCTCAGGCTACTTTATCATTTATTACTACTAACCTCTACATGTATAATGAGGTGTTTCTGTATTGACATCCCAGAATCTGACAGTTGTATCACCTGAGCCACTTGCCAGATATCTACATGTATGACAGTACAGCAGCTTTTTGTACAGTAATTATACTATTAGAGCATAAATCCACAAATTATTTATGTTGCTTGAAGGAAACAAATTGTAAAAGAAAGATGCAGTAACTCTGTTTAAATATATACCTGCCATCTGGACTGAAGGCCACAGAAATAACTGCTTCAGAATGACCTGTTTAAAATAAAACAGTTGATATATATTGCACTTTATTACATGGTCTATTAAGTAGCATTTTCGGACCTTTTTACAACTATCTGTATTTTGGCCAGCCCACTGTGTGATAGAATTAAGAAAATTAAGAATATACAATACTTTATTTCAAAGAAGCAAGCATTGTTAAAAACAAGTGCAGTTATTAAGAAATAGGAAACCCAGAGGTCAAACCTATGTGAAGGATCTCCTAAAAAATGAAGAATTCAAAGCTTGGGCAACGGCTAGGGCACAGTTTCTTTGAAAACTTCCATCTGCCCACTTCTAAACACATTACAGAACTATCCTATATGTAGCTAGCATAAATTAGAAGAAATTAGGGGGGTTTTGAAAACTTTTCCTATGCACATGTAAATAAATAAAATACCTGGAATGGTACTTGTACACCTTGTAACTGCTCTGACTTTAAACACAGCCTGAGGCTGGTAAACTATCTCCACAACTTTCTCTGTCTCTAGTGTCTGTGTCTCAAGTGTTTCCTTAAGAGATCCTGTGATTTCTGACTCATTGATGAAAAATGAATATGGGACACTCTCATCCTGAAACATGAATAAATGGGCATAACAAGGGGGAAAAAGATTAAATTTACATGACCTTAACTGTAATATTTTCGTTTCTTCACCATCACAGACATTAGGCCTTGTTTTTATTGAGAAATTGCATAACTTATTTATTCCTTTTATCTCTAGGGCCTGATTAATCCCAGTCTGAAGGTCAACCTTTCAATTTTGTGCACAAATCCTTAGCCTTTAGTTGAGTGTAAAGATTAAAAGGATATTAGATTTCTATTGCTACTTTTTGCTTTTTCAAGCACTAAAGAATAAAATCAACCTTTGAAGAAGCCAAACACTGAATGCAGAATCCTGAGTAACTCTCAAGTTTTGTGATTAGGGTAAGGGAACTGAGTGAATCAGGTTCCATTTATGATCATTATTCTGGGAAAACTGACCTGAAACTTGATTCACTCCATTTCTAAACCCTAATCACTAAACTTCAGAGTCATTAGGCATTTTCCAAAATACCCCTAACACCAACTCACCTTCCTGGATTATTTCATTGGATTAGAATGAATGCCAATAGATAGAGAAGGAGAGTCTTGTAACAGCTGAAAAGACTATACACTTTATTTAGTGGGCAGTCTCATGAGTAAGTGGAATATGATCATCTGGGTGAGTGAAGTCCTGAATAGGGTTGCCATTGACAGTGACTGATATTAAGACAACCAGCGCTGTAGTCATCTTTGACTCTGAAGATTACTAATGCACAAGTGGTCAAAGCATCAGTCACTGTCGACAACAGTCCTATTCAGCAATACGTTCACCCAGACAATCATATTCCACTTACTTACTCCTGGGTTCAAACCATTCATTGAGTCTCATACTAATCTATGCAAAAATATAACACACATAGAAGATCTCATCACTCTTATTGCCCCTCACCCACACCAACCCCCTCTATCAGTCTCACCCGTCACCTACACTTCCTCTCACACCATTCACCTTCTACAGTCTGGGATGGACTCCTTTAATCTGTAATTACCAGTAATTAGGATATACTGAGATGGACCTTTCAATCTAGTCAGCACAAAAGTTATTACAATACCTTCTGAAGAACAGCGTTACAGACTAATTCTAGTTTATCGGGTGTGACATCAAGAGGGAGATCAAATGGTGTACCAATAAGCTCTCCAACTTCACTCTTAAACTGAGCAAGGATACGACCTCCTTCACTACAAGTGTAAAGTATCAAAAACACAGATAAGCAAGCTATAATGTGAATTCGAATGGCGCGCGATCGATTGAGAGTCTCGCGAGTAACTTCATCACGGATTACCTCAAATAACATTCACACTTTAACGACAAGAGACATTAAGTTACAAAACAAAGGGTGTCATGTAGAGATTCCAACCCCTTACCTCATTTTGGTCACTTTTTCTCGATTCCAACGACGATTCCCACGTGAATTTTCTTGTGTTTATTTCAACCTTAACCAGCGGTAAAGTTTCGTAAGAGAAGACTTGTCATGTAATACAGGGCTTGTGAGTGTGCGCATTAGGTTACCCAAGATGGCTGCCTTCAGGGTTAAAAACATCTCGTGCTGTTTTTCATCCTTACGACAAAGTTTTTTGCAGAATAATAGGATCGATCTAAATGACTTACCACGATTAGTGTTAATTCTTTCAAGATGCAATCTTTCCATTGCAGCACGTGAAGTAAAATCAAGTGAGGATGCAGTCGAAAGTCATCCCAAAAAGACCAAAATTCCAATCCTAAGTGACTTTGAGAACAGAAATCCTCGAAATCCTGAGTATTTTGGTTATAACAAGCCCAGAGGATATGCTACTCAAAAATACAGGAAAGATTACTATAACAAGTAAGTTACCTGTGGTACTGTCATCATGATTGTAATGTAAATTTCCGCGCTCCTTAAAGCACAGGCCGCCCAAGCTTGGGATGATGTAGGTGCGAAATAGCGGTCATGGCGTAAAAAAAGAGTTTTTATGGGTATATTTACAATATGCTTTAGACCAGTCCACTAGAAAACTGAGGAAGCTAAAAACTCACAAAAATCGCAAGACGGCAAGTAATACACAATGTATACCACGGAAGTAAGATAATTTTATAGTTTTTATGTTTTTTAAAGCAAATCATAAATATCCCCATACAAAATATGATTTGTGTAAATTAGAATTGACATAAATTATTATTTTGCTGTCATAGAACAGAGACCTGGGTTCTAGCGTAGCGCTCGAGTGGTCAGGGTTGGGGGGTTTAATATAGTGACCATTTAGTTATGCGTGTCATTCTGCGGTCGGCCTCGCCATGTCAACTTGCTTTGTTTAGTTTAGTTTTCACTTATTCTGTTAGCCTTAATTTCGTTACCATCTGTACTGGTCCCTATGTTTCTTAGCTATTTTATGTAACATCTCGTTTTCTGCTCGTCTTTATGTTATTTGGCTTTATTTTATTAGTTCTGCCTTATAACTCCAAAGGTGATGCCATAGCATAGGTTGGGGTTACATGATCCCTATTTTTCCAATAGTTGGTTTTTTCAGGTTTACATGTCAGGCTGTGGCATGTTCTTAGAATTACTGTAACAGTGGAGTTTTTCACGTGAGTTAATAAAGTGAATTATGTGCCAGGCTGACCAACGCACCCATGCCTCCAAATGTTGTTTTGTTTGTTCGGTTGTGTAGTGGAGACAAAATCTGATATATTTTTGCCATGACTGCTATTTAACAATTATTCCACGAGGGCGCGTTGGATATGAGATGATAGATAGCCAACGAGGCGCATAGCGCCGAGTTGGCTATAATCATGTCATATCCAACAAGCCCGAGTGGAATAATTGTTTTATTAAAAACGCCCACAAAATCTCGTTGAATCGCCCCGACTAGAACAAACCGGAAAAGACAAGGGACCTCCGCTATTGACATGTCACACGTCTATCAAAACTGTCAACGCGCGAACGGACTCGCCTGGACTGCATGAATGAAAAATCAAAACATTGTGAGATGAACTTTAGTTTTTTAAAAACTCATCGTGATTCTAGGATTTTACACAGCAGAACAGCTTAAAAAACCTGGCAGATAATGTGAAGGAAAGGAATTTTTAAGTGACAGCCGTCGAAATTACTATGAATTTGGATTTTCGATGCAGTTATAAAAGTAAGAACAACGGAGAAAAACTACCGGTATTACCTCGGTCGCTTGTTATGAAGTTGTTTGAAGCCACAAGCTGGTTTTGCTGAACGAGAAAAGAAGCTATACTGCCGCCTCGATTGCTCTAGTGAATGGCTGCATAGCCTGTATTTGTAGCTGGTTACTTGTGATTTATATTCTTGATGTCGGATAAACAAGCTGCAGTTATCTATCGGCGAGTGACTCGATCGGCGAATGGCTTCGGGATCATGAAGAAACAACACTTGTCTTCTTTCGTAGCTGGTCAAGGTACCTTAGTTCCATGTGTTTTCATGTGTTTTTCGACAAACTTTCCAACAAGCTCTTGTGGCTTTTTTGTTTGTTTTTGTCTTTTTTCTTTCGTTGAAATTGCATTTCTAGTATTCTAAGAAATGAATTAAAACGATTGCTTCGGGCGCCGTTCTATCCTTGGCGAAAAAAAATCTCAGCTAGCTTCCAATTTTAAACTGACGCGTACACCGACCATATATGGAGAACATGGTATATTAGCTCATATACCATAACAGCTAAGCCAATCAAACTGCTAGAATTGCATTATCCAATGATTCAGTTTTTAATAATTTGCAATATCCTCTTCAATGAGCTTGGGCTTCCTTTGCTCACAGGAGTACGTATTAAATCCTGATCCAGCTCACCCTCTGCTATGTTGGAGGTATCTGATAAAGTTCAGATTTTGAGTATTGTTGATTCTCGATTCCACAGGTGTTTGATCATAAAACCCAGCCCTGTCAAAGTTGCTGGCTGCATATTGTGTTATAATGTCATAATAATAATTAATATAATTATTATGACATAATTCTCCAATCTGATTGGCTGTTCATGGCCCTGATTTCAGCATTAATAGGACAGTGTAATAGGACAGTGTGTGTCATACCTAAATAGTTGGACAGTTATTGGACTTGATTCTATTGTTTCATTGATATAGATTGAAATTCATTATCTCAAATCGCCACTCAAGAGCTGAGGTGTTGCACAACAGTGGAGTGGTCCTTGTCTCAGCATCCACTGCAGAGTTTGAAATCACAAAACACCTTTACAAAACCACAGACATAAGTGCTGCTAAGAACCTTGGTAGGGTGTTGGCTCAACGATGTCAGGAGGCAGGAATTACAAGAGTTTATTGGGAACCTCAGTATGGTGACAGAAATAAACTACGGGTAATGTTTATGGTGATGTCATATTGTGAAGTTGTCACCAGTTTCCCAGTGATTTTGTTACAAATGGTTATGGTGAGTCCTGGGACTCATCTTGTGAAAACCCATCAGTCCCTGTCCATAACCAATAAAATCCCAGTTCAAAAAATCAAGGAGACCTAAATTGAAAATGTTTGGGCCTTTATGTAACCAGACAGTTAATATGCAGACAGATGCCAAAAGTCTTTATTACAGTTTACTAAAATTAAAAATAGTCCTTCTATAAATGTAAAGCACAAAAAAGACTAAAAGAAATATGCATCTTTAAACAACAACCACAAAAATCACTCGAACAGGATATTCTACCAAAAGATCGATCCTTCTTTGCTTCCTATGGGATGTGTGCCATGAATTATTTGGTGTCTTTGGGAATTTTTATGCATCAGGGACACAGGATGCAGAGGTAACAAAATCACTGGTTTCCATAATGCAGCCATACCTGACCTCCATTCACCCCTTTAGAAATGAGAAGGAAACGGCAATGTGGGCCAAATTATCTTTCACTAAGACTTCTGAGATCATTACTGGTGACGTGCCGGTCAGCTGTTGGCCAATTTGTTTTCTCTGTCCCTAGTGACAATCCCAGTTGCAAAAGTTAACTTGGCCCAGTTTCCCTTGGTACTGTTGAGGAGAATAATTTGTTAAACAATCCTGACCTTTTACACTTCTTGATCATTTCCGTTTTTCTCATGTCCTTTACAGTGTAAGTTTAATTGAGCAGTGTTGTTATAACAACCCTCCAAGTTGCGACTATTTTGGTCGCCATGGCACCTAAAATTTTGGAGCTAGCAACTTGATTTGTAAAAATGTCTCCCTAAACCAAAAGAGTTGGTTGCCAAATGGGGACTGAGCAAAAACTTTAACTTGGAGGGTTGAAAAATAAGGAGAAATTAAATGTTGGTTGCTCTTAGATGTTAAAGGGTTAATGTAACTGACTACAACAAAATCCTTCTTACAGGTGAAGGCATTTTCTAGTGCTCTTGCAAAAGGAGGTTTTGTCAAGCTGAATGAACATAGGAAAGTTATACATCCACAAACATTTTATTGTGGTGAGTATGCATAAAATTTTGTGATGTGCATTTTTAATGTAGTTAATTTTATTCAGTTAAAGCTTAGTTATTAGATTTAAATGCATTTTTTCCCATTGTCAACTGTTTCTTTGTGGGTTCTGGGCCTCTTTTTGAATTAATGCTATCATGTTTCTGCTGAAATTACCTCCCTAAATACATTATATAGAACTGCTAATGGTCTCAACTGTGCCTATTTTAAATGAGCTGGAGTATATAACCTCAATATGACCAGTAAATTATCAATATATTTATTAACTAAATGAGCTCTAAGTCAAGCTTGATATGGGGGGACATTACCATTTACATGAAAAATCCAGAAATTCATGTTGGAAAAACAAATGGTTCATGCAATTCCAGTTTGGGAGCTTCAGAAAACATGGGCTAAGATTTGGGGGATGCAATTTTTTCCATTCTTTTTACTCTGTTCAGCTGATTTGGATTATACATAGTAGCAGTTTGTTCTCCCACCACCTCAAGTTTTTCAGGGTGGTTTGTGTAAATGGTAAGCACTCAGGATCTCGGACCTTCTTTATGGGTGGTGGGGGTACATACCACCTAGCCTGGTTGCACTTTTTTGGCTGATTCCTAGAATAAGGTGTAATATTTTTTAATGCACAGAAGTTTAACATTATCAGCAGTTGAATTAAATATCCAGAATGGGATTCTTTATTTAAATTTGTGACTTAAAATGGGTTATCATTTTGAAAACAAAATCCCTGTAATCACTGCAATAAGTAGAGCTATCAGTTGGTTTTACCAAGGGAGCAACTTCTCTGATATATCTTGCTGTTCTGTAAATTTTTTTTTTCTGTAGATTATACGCCCAAGAATAGAAGAAGAAAGTGGATAAGGCTACCTTCTTCTAAGAGAAAAAAGGAACACATCACAAGAACAAAATAAACTTTCATTGTTTTATCCAACAGCAACAGACTTGTTTTTATTTACTTCCATTCAACGACTTTAGAGACAATCTTTTATCACTTACAGCGAAAAGAGTAATGCTTACAGTCATGCATGTGTTTGCTTCATGCTCCAGCGAAAAATATACCCTGCGAGCAGAGTTTTCTTTCCAACATGGCTTTTAGCATAAATTTTATGAAGTTGTTTGCATCACTTATTAGTCGCATAGCTAGTTTATTTATGCCCCAAGAGAAACCTCTGCAGTGAGCTGTCTGTGGTTTCTATCGTGCATTGTGCATGTGCCAGATCGTTAATTTGTTGCTATAGATAATAATGACATAAATTTCATCCACCTGAAAGAAATACAATTCAGTCAAACATAATTCTGAAATTTACTTGTCCCATTTCAAAACAAATATTTCTGGACAACAAAACATGCACATTTTGACAATATCCTCACAACCAAGGACTATCTGAGGAATATTCTTTTATTGCAAGCTCTTACAGTAAAGCATTTACAACATAATACAATGTCTTGGACTGATAAGGAGTAAGAATTGATTACAGAATGGTTACGTGCTTTGAAAGCCTTCTGAACCGCTTTTAAAAAATGCTTGCAGGAGAAAGTGTCACACGGGCTCTGTTTTGCTTAACAAATCAGTCGAAAAGAATTGCACATGAGTTGTTCAGTCACATTGCCAAAGTGCATGGACAACAGAAACCATGGAAAGCTCACTGGAGAGGTTTCTCTTGGGGCGTAAACAAACCAACTAGGTGACTTAAAAGTGACGTGAACAACTTTGCAAATGCTTAAAGCCACACTGGAAAGAAACCTCTGCTCGTAGGGTAGCCATAAAAATCTCTGGTACAACCATATGAAAATGCTGACAGAATTCTACATTTGAAATAGTTTATTTTTCAAACAAGCCTTCATAATCATAACTATTCATTTACAGTAAAAAGGAAAATGAACAGTACTAGATGTAACAGAAATGTTAAGTTAAAATTAATCATCTTAATCAACATGGCATAAAATTAAAGTTATTCAGCTTCCTTCTAAACAATTTTTTTGTCAGTTTCCAAACCCTAATTTTCAAGAAACAACACTGAAAGTTATTTCCTTCAATAATAATAACAACGAAGACATAAAAATTATAGTTCTAGCCCCTGAGTCGGTGTAAAATCCCATGTTGTGATAAACAGCCTAATTTTCAAGAATATCAGTGATCCTTTTTCCAAGGAATCTTAATGAAACTTTTTGTTTTTTTCAGTCCAACATTCACTCTTGTTCAATAAGGCCATTTTCTTCTGTCTCCAAGGGGATGAACTGGTCATTCCCTTTTTAGAAACAAGAGGGGAACTGGAGACAAAAGACATCCTACAATTGATTCTGGGATTGTTACAGGGGATGTACTGGTCAGCTAGTGGCCAATATTTCCCCCTGGTAACAATCCCAGAAGTCATTGCAAAAGTTTTCTTAGCCCCATCTCCTTCTCATTTCTAAAGTTGTGAAAAAGTCTAAATTAAGATGAAATCTGGGATACATGTATTTCTTGAAATGTTTATGAGGGCACTCTTGGGAATGAAAAGTTCAGTGGCCAAGCTGTAAAATTAGAGCACATCCTAAGCAGAGTTATTGTAGAAGTGATTACTTTATAACGACTATTTTTTGTATTGTTTTAGTTTCTGATGGTAACTGTTCACTGAGTAAAAACGCCCTGATCACGGGACAGCAACATACAGCTATACAATATGATATTAGTTCAGATAGATAAACTTATCTTTTTAAAGACGAACTCCTGGAAGAGTTTCCATAATCTTGTGACTTCATGAATATGTAACCTGGGTTGCGGACAGTCTTAGTCCCTGATACCCCAATGTATATTGAGGTCTCTAGCTAGGTCTAGAGTGAGGAGTCTGGCTGCAACACAGGTCACGGATATACCTTACACCATAAGAATATGGACTAAACATATCAAAAGGGCACCCTTTTACGGATACCTAGCCTATGAAATTAAATTAATGGGGTACAATATTTTTTAGAGTAGTTTTATTTAAGTGAAAACATTTTAATAAATTTCAAAATTTGGCCCCTTGGAATTTCAATTGTAGCAGATGTCTTTGAGTCACACAGAAAAGAAGTGATCAATTCACAACTTCTCTGATCCCCTTCCAAATGGCTAATCTGGCACAGAAGTAAAAAAGTAAACAGTGATGTACTTCTAAGAACCATCACTGTTTGGACTAGGTTGCTAAAAGTAAAATATAATCAATAATAAGTTCATGTCAGCCTGAAATTCAAATTAACAATAATGTAAGCAAAATGTCATTCTTTAAAACAGTTGATGAAGAACTCAGGAACAAGGATTAACAACCATGGCAAACTTTCAATCCATACAATTGAGGATAAGCCTTAAAAAGCTTTCAAACAACGCTACAGTAATGTACAGTTCATGTATTTGTAGAAATAGGCACTGACATCTTAGACCACTCTTCTGACTTCAAAGAATCGTTTAAGGTAGAAAACTTGTCCTAGCGTCATGGCAACAAGCACAAGAGATTCAAAGAAGGACCACCAGACTACACGGCTGTTTGTGTTATCATTAACTGTGGATGGAATAACAAAAAAGTAAGAAAAGTAAAAATAATAATTGGAGAGGGCCTCAAATGACTTCTACTTAACTGCCAGATCATTCTTTCAATTTGCTAAAGGGAAAATTTCATGTACAGCTGTGCCTGCTTTTCAATTAGGGCCTTATTCCATGCACAACTTTTTTAAGATTTGCAAGTACCAGACTTTGTCTAGAAAACTTGCAAATAGGTTCAGTGCTTGAAAATTTTGCTTTATCCGAGTTACATAAAATGTCCCAAATTTCACTTTCAGCCATCTCACAGTATTTCTGCCTTAGTTGGCAGTTTGCAGCAGTGAAAATATGAAATAATAATAAATATAATAGCACTGAGAATAACAGTGTACATCCAAACAGATTAAAATTGTCCAAAACAATAATGGATGAAACTACAGATTTTACCGATGAAACTAGCATGAATCTACAGTCTGATTTCCATGCAGATATCCATGTGATGAACAGCAAATGACAAGTTACAGGGTACAAGTGTGAAAAGAAAGTGTCTGATAGCCCGGGGCTTCTGGACTTTGCTATTGGGTTAGTGAATACGGTTCTTAACTTGCTTGACAGGCAAGTTGAATTTTTGGGGGAACTCAAATTACAGAAGAACAGTAATCGATGCTCATCAAATGGTAAGCTCTAAAAGTGACTTTCTTTGCACCCAATTGTCGTAAAAGTGATTCTTAAAAACACCGTAAGACATTGCACTTACTTGATCTGTGAATTCTTTCCCTAACTTCCATATATTCCTGCTCATGTTTGACACCTGTAAGTGCTTCAGACAACTGACCAATCATTTCACTTAGTTTGTCATGATGTGCACCTTAAAATAGGAGAAAAAAAGGACACATTATTGTTCTCTCTCACACAAAAGATTCATGCGGTTAATTATACCCCATTTGAAAAAGTAGGATAACTTTTTTGGCAGAATTTTTAAACTCTTTAGTTAACTCTGGGTAATATGGACATTACCATAGATTACTGCAGTTTGAATGTCAAAACTATGTTAAGCCAGTAATATACAGCAGTTTCATTCTAAGCAGGGTTGAAACAACAACACAAATCAAAGTTCTGCAAGTAAAGCTCTATCAGTGAGTCAGTGCAAGTATGGCTTAAGTTGACTTGGTTAAAACGCCTTTTCACCTGTACACCAATGATTGTCGTAATGAAAGCCAGGTTTGTGTCCAAACACATTCAAGTCTGGTACAACTTAAAGGTCTACGTTACAAAGAAAGCAACTCTAAATGGTCTGTACTGCAACCTCAAAGAGCATCACCAAATCATGGATCAGGGCTGTCACTGAAGGTGGATTTCTACTATCTCACCATCTTTATGTCCATAAATAAAATAGAGATGATGTATGAGAGGCTGCACACAGACATAAAAGTTGAGTGAGGTTCAACTTTTAAATTTATGCACGACCTCTCGCCTCTATTTTATTTATGCACATAAAATTTACATCACCACCCACAAAAATATTTTACAACAATAAAAATCTGGGGGAGGGGGGTGGATTACCCCCAGCTACTATGAACTTGAAGTTCGGCTACTTTCAGCGGAAACAAAAGGAAAAAAATAATACAACCACAAGAACTTCCTTCACTTCATTTCTATGCCAAGTTATTGCATATACCCTGTAACTGGACATCTTAGTGAAAGCCCTCATCATATTTATATGCAGTTTTCTACCTGACCTTTTCTTTAATTTTCAAACAGGGTTGAATCATACCTTCCTCTTTACTTGTATCCTTAGGCGCTTCTCCCAGGTCCATGGAGAACTTGACTATTTTGGGTGTCATGGATGACATTTTGTTACTAAAGCAGTAGTGGTATGTTCCATCCATATATGCAGCAAATGCATATTTTCCATTACTTTCCCTTTCTCCTGTGTAAATGACTTTTTGATCTGGACCTCTTATCTGTCGTAAAGAAATAAATATTGGAAAGTTAAAGATAAGCAACAAAAATTATGTTTCACAAACTTCTATTACAGCAGTTGTACACATGTACATTGATTAGGGTCTCTTGGTGTATTCTCTCACAAAGCAAAGCAGGTTGTGGGTAAATGAATATTGTTCTGCTTCATCTCTCATGCCCAGGAATGTCACTAACAAGGGGCTACCAATGAATTTAACCAGCTGAAAAAGAGCTTACTTAACCTTCCAACTTTTCCTAAGTCAAATGCATGGGATTTTGATATCCACATTTCTGAAAAAAATCTAACAAATTCTGAATTGTGTCAAAGAAGTTCTCATGTCTTCCCAAAATTGCAAAGATTTCCAAAGGTTGCAGAATGTAGTGGTGAGAAGCGCTAAATCTTGGCAAGCTTGCGAGATCTCATATATCTAATCTTGAGGGGTTACCAAGGCAAGGTATTATCATGTCTTGGCAAGATAACTTCTTTAGTCATTTTTCACCTTAATGGTTATAAAACAGCTAGTTTGGAATAGTGAGTTATGCACTTGAAATTGTCCACTTTCGGTCCGCCACTGTGTGAAGCCCAGTGTAAATGGATGCAAGATTGTTGGCCAACAACTACCAACATTATTGGATGTTACATGTTGCATCCATTTGCACACCCTGTGCCAGATTATTGGGTGTTATTGGGAGTTGTTGCATGCAGTTTGAAACCAGTCAAATTTTTAGCAAATGGATGCAATAACTCACAACAATGTTGGGCCAACAATGTTGAGAGTTGCTGCACCATTTGCAAGTAGTTTGACTCACGTAAAATGAATGTGAATTAGAAGGTATAGCTTATCACTGGTTCAAATTGCCCTGGAAATTAAATGGGGTAATTTTGAGGGTATACAGTTAAGTGAAAAGCCATATAGACTAATAAATACATATGCCTCCTTAGCTTTTCCTTAGCAATATCCCTGCAAACCTACCCCCCACCCACCCTCCCTGTGACCTTTTTTAAAATACTGCATTTTTTTCACTTACATTTTGAGAGGTTTTCTATAACAGTTTTTACTGCCAGTAGCTAAAAAGCACGTGATGAGTGCACTTTGATTGACAATTACTCCTTGTTTAAATGCCACCTCATAATATTTCTTGGGGATAGGGTAGGGTTAAGAATCAAAAAATAATAATCTCTTTGAAACAAATTTAAAATACTTGGCATATGATGGGTAACTGTTCGTTTTTCTGAGAGAAAAAAAAGGACAGTAAATTAAAAGCCAAGAGTTAATATGGTTCCAAGCAGCCATCAGTCTGTAGGTACAATATAACAGGACCGTTGCTTATCAGGGATTATGGAACCATTTTATCTAATATAGATTATATACTGCAACCCTCTAATCCTTGAAAAAGGTTATGTACCGTGACATCGATGTCCAAGAATCCACCTTCGGCTACTTCAAATATGAGAGCCATCTTGGTTCCAGATGTAACTTGGTCATGAAAACACTCCTCTGCATGCGCGTCGATCGTTATAAAATAGCCAAACGAGGCTTCGAAGAGTATTACAAGAACTAATGAACACAATTCTAAACGAAACAGAGCCATAATTGTTCCTAAAGTATGGCTTAAGTTGCCTGCAACCGGTGAAAAGACTTCATACAACCCTTTGTCCAAACGCCACGTCGGATAAGACTAGACAGTCAGAACGCATGCGTCCACGAGTAACACAACCCGAATAGAGTCATGGGATTTTTTCCCGCTCTGCTTTTAAAAATCTGTGGGGGCGCTCAGCGTTACTAGCAGGGCCGTGACGTAACAACATGGCGTTCTGCGTGCACGTTTCGTAGCGTGAACGTTTGAGTAAATCTTTGCTGCAAATTGCAAGAAAGGAAGTAATTTATCAGGTAATTGAAGTTCCCGTGGGTTTCTTTTGATTATTTTTGAGTTAGTGGCGATGCTGGTTTTAACCTGTGCTCTTTTGCGCTTATGGCTGAAGGTTCTGTCGGATAGTTCACCGCCGTCATGGCGGCGTGGGGACATCCAGGCATGGCTGCAGTGCCCGCTGAAATTACCGAGGAAAAGCTTCAAGAAAAAGGTAAACTCGTGGTATTTTGTACTATACGTAAACTTTCTAACGTTTATTTAGAGCCCAAGGGAAGCATTCGCTATAATTTATTGCGGATAATGATCTGTCTGAACAAAGGACCTGGACTTGGATTGCAGTGTCAGTCACTTAACAGTGGTCGGTACACACTGGGCGACAGGTTGCAGCAATTAGTCGCACTTCTTGTGTACTGGAGAATTTTTGTGAAAGTCTTTGTCTCCACAACAGAATTTTGTCGCCGCAAAATGTTGCAAAAAATCAAATCAGACAGAATTTATGCAACTTGTTGCAGCAACAAAATTCTGTTGCATTGTCAAAGATTTTTCACAAAAGTTCTCCAGTACACACAAAGCGATTTGTCACTGCGAGTTGTCGTTGCAACGTGTTGCCACAATTAGCTGCTCGATGTGATCTGTCACCGCAACGTGTTGCTTTAGCTTACCGCATAGTGTGTTCCAACCTTTATAGTGCACATGCATAGAATGCACACAGAAAGAGACATAAGAAAACAGACTTTTTTGCCACTTTAATAGTAAATTTTGGTAAGATTTCAGTACAGCCCCATAAAACAATAATTTCTTTACTATTTCACACAAATAGTGAGTATATTCCAATGTGATTTCACTTTAAGAACTATTGCTTACACCTAGAGTGTAGATTACAAATCATAGACTAAGAATTGCTCCTTGAGTTTTCAAATTCCTCATCGTATCAGGCATCATGAGATATGTTTCTGCTATAAAGTGGCTGGGTGTTCTGAAATTGGGTCTCATTTCAGCATGCAAAGGAAGTAGTGTCCAATAGCCCGGGGCTAGTGGATTTTGCTATCGGGCTAGTGAATTCTGTTCGTAACTTGCCCGACGGGTAAGTGATGTGTTTTGGGAATTCAACTTACGAAGAACTGTCAAATCAATTCTGCTCATCAAAAAATATTGGGGGCTAGTTGAAATGACGTTTGGCTAGTAAATGCTAACTTCAAGTTGCCCGAATGGCACGCTGTAAGAATGACTTTCTTTGCACCCTGTATTTAATTCCATCTTGGATCTTGTTGTGCTGATGTGCTTATGCTACTGATTGACTACAACTTTTTTGTACAGCACGAAAATGGCAGCAGCTACAGTCAAAGAGATACAGTGAAAAGAGAAAGTTTGGATTTGTGGAGGCACAAAAAGAAGACATGCCACCTGAGCATGTTAGGAAAATCATTCGAGATCATGGTGACATGTCCAGTAGGAAATACAGACATGACAAAAGGGTGTACCTCGGGTAAAACAATGTTATTGTATATTTAGTCTTTTCATAACCGGCTGTATTTAATAGTCTCTAAATAGTACTGTTAGATTTGAAAAAAAAAGAAAATAGAAAGTGTTTTTGATTGTATAGCTAACTTCAAATAAATAAATTAGTATGTGACAGTAGACGAACATGCAAATCATTTTGAATTGGCTGTCAGGTTCATGCAACATGCAATGTAGAGTTTGGCAGAGACCATCATCATTCCAGAGTAACAGTTGATTTATATATTATTTTATCTTCCCTTGTACGCAACCTGATCTCTTGATCCCTCAATGCTGGAATGAACTTAATTTAAACTCATCTCGTAATCAAGATCAATATCTACACGTCCAAAAGTTTGGTTCAACCTAAGTATGCCAGTTATCACTCCATAGTGGCTCTAGAAGACAAACAAGGTTTAGCACATGTATGACTGGCAACTTGTTGTTAGAATTACAGTAGGTAGTTGACCTTTTCCCTAGCAGTTAACAAACAAGTGTATTTAATCTCTCATTACAAAAATTGTTTTAGTCCCTAACTTCTGATTTTGTTTTGTTTTTTGTTTTTAAGTGCCTTGAAGTACATGCCACATGCTGTGTTAAAGTTACTAGAAAACATGCCTATGCCATGGGAACAGATCAGGGATGTCAAAGTTCTTTATCACATCACTGGTGCCATAACATTTGTGAATGAGATCCCATGGGTTGTTGAACCTATTTATTTGGCTCAGTGGGGGTAAGCTTATTTGTTATCATACCATGCTGTGTATCTTAATAGTGAGAAGATTATGTGCTTTCACTTGTGAAAAGTTTCTCCTTTCAATGTCCACCTCGGGAAATTGTGAAATTACAAGGCTGTGTTCTAGCAGAGCCCGGTGGCCCTTGGGCCTAATTTTTGCTCCTAGGCTACTAGAAAAACTCAGTTTTTTCACAGAAATCATATGATGGGTACCCTGGATTTCACAGGTTCAGACCAGTGGGCTCCCTTTAGGTTTTCTCAGAGCACATCCTTGAATTATGTTATCATGACCTATCCCATGCAAAATTCAAGGATAAGTCACAGGTATCAGTTCTAAACATCTACATGTCATTAACCTGTTTTAGCACCATGTGGATCATGATGCGACGAGAAAAGAGAGACAGAAGGCATTTTAAGAGAATGAGATTTCCACCATTTGATGATGAGGAACCTCCTTTGGATTATGCAGACAATATCCTGGATGTTGAACCTTTGGAACCCATCCAAATTGAGTTGGACCCAGAAGAAGATTCAAGTGTTTATGAATGGTTTTATGATCACAATCCTCTTCTTGATACAAAGTAAGTGAAGACGATATTTCTTTGCCAGCATCAGTACCTTTCCATTTCCATTTGAGTTCAATTAACAGAGTGCCATCAAAGTTGATATCCAGACCTTTTTGTTGAAAATTGACCTTTTTACACTGCGACTTCTCGAACCAGGGGACTTGTCCAATCACAAGGTCCTTTGAAAACACAATTCTCAAGTTTTTCTGCAAATGGACGAATAAAATTCAAGGTTCAACTATGCAACTGTTGAAAAATTTGAAACCATTTGAACTTACCTGACCTTTTAGAAAACAGCCCTCAAATTTATGAATGTTATTGCTCCTTGAGAATCTTTTTTTTGCAAAGAACATTGTGATTGGATAATATTCTTCCAAGTCCCCCGGTTTAAGTTTTCGCACTGTAACACTTATTTTTTAGTAAGGTTCTTGTCAAATGGTTGTGATTGATTCTTTGAATAAAATAAAACCTTGCGAAAAAGGAAAAAATTCAGTATCTTCACAGCTAACATGAATACTAAGTTTGCCATTCTCATTTTTCTTAGAATGATCAACGGCTCTTCCTACCGAAGATGGAACATAACACTTCCCATAATGTCAACCCTCTATCGACTGGGAAACCAACTTTTGACCGATCTTGTAGATGACAACTACTTTTACTTGTTTGACCTTAAGGCATTCTTTACTGCAAAGGCGCTAAATGTTGCCATTCCCGGAGGACCTAAATTTGAACCTCTAGTGAGAGATGTGAACCTCCATGATGAAGATTGGAATGAATTCAATGACATTAACAAGATCATTATTAGACAACCAGTGAGAACTGAGTACAGGATTGCATTTCCCTACCTGTACAATAGCTTGCCCTACAAAGTCCATCTGCCCTGGTAAGTCAGTCATCTGAGTACCATGTAATTTAACTCTTATTATCTGTTTTGTTGGGTTTTCAATTTTCTCTTACCCTTTGAAGTCAGGGGTCAACTTTTACCATAGGGTAATTTACTGAGGTAGTTTCTGGTTCTAGGCAGGAGTCAGAATGAACCCTAGTAGTAATAGATTGTTTTTACCCACTTAATCACTAGCTACGCAAATTTCTTGAGGAAAAAAATGAAGTTTGTACATGTAAAAAATTTCAATTCCACAGAAGTTTTTTGGTACACCAGGATGACCACTGTTTCATTGTTTTGATACACTAATTTTGGCCACCGTGGGATCACATGAACAGGATCTACATGTATTCCTTGGAAAGGCAGCCATTGTTTGGTGTGAACTTTTGTAAACCCTGTATTTGCCACCAAACACGGGAATAGCATTGCCAAAGGATGCAAACTGTTATTTGGGTTGGTGGCTAGAGAAACATGGCTCAGATTACTGCGGCATGTTTATAACTTCAGCTGTTATGGACTGCTTTCTGTGCCTTACAACTTCAGTTTATGACAAAAAAAGGTCCTTTGGGGTATACATGTTTCTGAAACCAAGCAAACTGTCTTCCTTTTTGCACCACTGATATTTGGTTCATTGTGCTTTCAGGTATCACCATCCATCTGTGGTGTACATCAAGACAGAGGATCCTGATCTGCCGGCATTTTACTTTGATCCTTTGGTGAACCCAATTGCACATAGACATGCTGTCAAGGTATTTTATTTACATTTTTATTTGTTTTTGGGTGGTTGACAACACAAGTCTATCAAATGTTGTCCATTTGTCAGTAAAGACATCGTGTCATTGCCTGTTTATATCTCACACGCAAACATAATAACCTTATTTAAAAAATGGGAAAGCCTTTGCAAAAGTTTGATCATGTTTTCATCTAGAAATTGGAAAGTGGATATCCAAAAGATCTCTCTCTGTTTTATATTTATGTTAAAGTTAAGTTCTAATGTTTCAGACAACAGAACCTATACCTGATGATGATGAAGAGTTTGAGTTGCCAGAGGATATTCAGCCATTCCTGCAAGATACTCCACTGTACTCAGACAACACAGCAAATGGTTTGTTTCATTTCGCCTTTTATTGCTTACAGTGATTTTCTAAAATGGAGTTACCTGTGGGCAGCATTGCTACTATTAATATTAGTTCTGTATTAGCTTTGTATTAGCTATGTAGTGACGGTAAATAATCTTTGCATTCAGGTTGGTCTGACCTTTGGCTGAATTTGTTCCACAGCAGACACACATTCACTTTTCTTCTAGAATAATAAGCCAACCTTATTTTAATGAAAGGAAAATTAATCATTTCTCATGTGTGACTGAATAACCCACCATCACTTGTGGTATCACAGGGAATAATTTAAAGGACTTTATATGTTATAGGCATTGCTTTGCTGTGGGCTCCAAGACCTTTCTGTCTCAGATCTGCTCGGACGCGTCGTGCCCTTGATATACCTTTAGTAAAGACATGGTAAGTATTCTTTTCAGCTTAGTATTTGCTTTATTATGATGAATTCTAGCATGGCAATTTCTTGGCTTTAAAGTTATTGCCTTATTTAAGTGGAATTTATATCATTTACTTTCCTAAATTGTTAGGCCTTCTTTGAAGGTCCTATTAATTTTCTTTTTGTTATTCAGGTATCGTGAGCATTGCCCATCCGGTCACCCAGTAAAGGTGCGAGTGTCTTATCAGAAGCTTCTCAAATGCTATGTCTTGAATGCACTGAAACACAGGCCACCCAAAGCTCAAAAGAAAAGGTACTGTTTCGTGGCAGAGGTTGTTGTGATGAAGTATTATTTGTGATTGAGTATATGTACCATATTTACTTGAGTAAGCAGTGGGGTGCTTTTCTCAGTGCAGCACTTAGAGATGAATTTTTTCATTTGTATACAACATGGTACTCGATATTTTCCTTTATTTTCCTTTGTTATTAAAAAACTCTAAGAACACCAAAAGAAACAACAAAAGGTAGTTTTGAGGTCTGTTTCCCCTTGTTATTTTGGAAAATGTCAAAATAATGAAAATGAACAATTGTGCATTGTTGCTTGGAGGATGCAGTGAAGATAGTTCTTAGTAATACTTTCCGTTGTTGTAGGTAATGTTACTGTGAAAATCGGATGAAAGAAAAAAGCTTCTTTGCCTTTAAATCTAAGAGACCTTGTGGAAAGTGTTTGGTAATAACAAAACTTGATTTGATCTCAGAATGTGTAATTTAAAGATGTTTTTGTCTTTCTCAGATATTTGTTCCGATCGTTCAAAGCCACCAAGTTCTTTCAGACAACAACTCTTGACTGGGTGGAGGTGGGTCTCCAAGTCTGTCGTCAGGGCTACAACATGCTGAACCTGCTCATTCACAGAAAAAATCTTAACTACCTTCATCTGGATTATAATTTCAACTTAAAACCAGTAAAAACACTCACCACTAAAGAGAGAAAGAAGTCCAGATTTGGGAATGCTTTCCATTTGTGTCGTGAGATTCTCCGTCTGACCAAGCTGGTGGTAGATTCTTATGTCCAGTACAGACTTGGTAATGTGGACTGCTTTCAGCTCGCTGATGGTCTTCAGTATATTTTCTCCCATGTTGGTCAACTGACTGGAATGTATAGGTACAAGTACAAACTCATGAGGCAGATCAGAATGTGCAAAGACATCAAGCATCTCATCTACTACAGATTCAACACTGTAAGTACCCCCTCTCGGAATTTCTTACAAGCGAAGAGGTAGCTGGTAAAGCAGACAATTCTGTTGCAGTAATAATGATGTCCACTTCGTACTTGTATTAGCTCAACAGTCAATAATTTTCAGTGTCTATAACAGAGTATTTTTGGAAAAATAAATTTATGATGATGTCTATTTGTATCAGATTTTATTTAAATTATCTTCAAACTAAAATGGGTACAAATGTACATCTTCTTTATATTTTAGGGACCTGTAGGAAAAGGACCAGGTTGTGGCTTCTGGGCTCCTGGCTGGAGAGTGTGGCTATTTTTCCTGCGAGGTGTTGTCCCACTATTGGAGAGATGGCTTGGAAATCTTCTTGCAAGACAGTTTGAAGGACGACATTCTAAGGGTGTGGCCAAAACTGTAACAAAGCAGAGAGTTGAGAGCCACTTTGACCTGGAGTTACGAGCTGCAGTTATGCATGACATTCTGGACATGATGCCAGAGGGAATCAAACAGAACAAAGCTCGTGTCATCCTACAACATCTTAGTGAAGCATGGAGATGTTGGAAAGCTAACATTCCTTGGAAGGTTTGATCTTTCTACCTTTTTGTCACATTATTCAACCTATTATCAAGCTTCAGCTAACCATGATTGTATGTGTAGTTTTGGTTGATTGCCAAACTTGGTGATGCAGTTGTGGTTCCTGCCATCATAGTCAGGAATGGAAATTCTAGGGCAGCAGGGTAGGGGAAATTTCCAAGGGGATAGAAAGTATTCTGGGGAAGCACTTTCTAGCAGAGTTTGTTGTGTTTGCTCTCTGCTTTTGTCATTAGCCATCAAAAAATAAAATAGTGCCTGGAAATACATGTAGACATTTGTTAAATTAGTGTATATCTTTTAAGTTGAACGTAGCAAATTGTTTGTGTCATGCATGGTAGACTTCAAGCATGGCATTTTAAAAAATGTGCTTTCTAATTCCGACCATCAACTTCAGATGTATGGGAACTTCCCAAGCTTAATTTTATCACAAAACTCATTTAACGTGTGCAGACCTGTTTTCCTCCCTTCCTACAAAGTGTGTGCCAATGTGTTTGTTTTAGGAGAAAACAGAAACAGTACAAAGCAACAGTGATTACAGCTGAAATGACTGCCATATAAACTGATGGTCATCCTGTATTTGTAGGTTCCAGGTCTTCCTACTGCTGTTGAGAATATGATTCTGCGCTACGTCAAAGCCAAGGCTGACTGGTGGACAAACACTGCTCATTACAACAGGGAACGTATTCGCCGTGGAGCCACTGTGGATAAAACTGTCTGTAAGAAAAATCTGGGTCGCCTCACTAGGCTTTATCTTAAAGCTGAGCAGGAGAGACAACACAATTACCTAAAGGTGTGATATTCAAATAAAATAATCTATTATTAATCAACTCACTTTTGAGTTTGTTAGCTACTTTTACTGGGAAAACCCTGTCATTTTAACTCTGTAAATTTAACGCAGTGAACAAAGTTACAAGTCATACAAATGTAAGTGTGACTTTCAATGCTTTACATATAAAGTTGTATCCTGGAGTTTTGGTGATTCTGTGAGTTAAACTTTGTCTTTGTGCTTGTCCAGTCAACATAATGTTTTATCATGACTATCCAGGTTGTGGCATCAAAGAATTTTTTGAACACCTTTTAGTTTCTGCTTATTTCTATAATATACTGAGGTTCCAACTTAACACCAAACATAGCTTGAAACTTAACTTCATATTGTCTTGTTTGACAGGATGGTCCATACATCTCAGCGGAGGAAGCAGTTGCAATCTACACCACAACAGTTCACTGGCTGGAGAGCAGAAGATTCTCACCCATCCCCTTTCCACCCCTTTCATACAAGCATGACACTAAGCTGCTCATTCTTGCACTTGAGAGACTCAAAGAAGCTTACAGGTGTGTTTTTTGTCTTATTGGAAAGAAACACTAAATTACTTAATGTAGAGAACGTATTAACACAGTTAAACCTTATTAAACAGTTAAACAGTTAAACCTCCTGGGTTCAAACCTTTCACAGTTAAACCTCTCCACTACAGCCACCTTTGGGATAGAAGAAAAAGGCCATTGTAGAGAGGTTTAAGTGAGAGTCAAAGTATGGAATGTCTGCCAAAAAAAGTGGCCGTTGTAGAGAGATGGCCACCAGTGGAGGGTTGACTGTTTATTTATCACAAATGGTTGAAAAGAATGTGTGTAGAACCTCCCAAGTAACCAGCAAACAGCAGCAAATTTACAACAAAGTTGCTAGGTGATTCTATCTCATTACAAGAAGGTTTCAAACTGTTGTTTGTTCTTCCTGTTTTGTGTTTTTTTCAGTGTAAAGAGCCGGTTAAACCAATCTCAAAGAGAGGAGTTGGGGCTGATTGAACAAGCATATGACAACCCTCATGAGGCACTCAGCAGAATTAAGCGTCACTTGCTTACACAAAGAGCATTTAAAGAGGTGCATTTCTTGATGGTCTAATTACATAATATAATAAATGAATGAAATGTTTTGTACCTACCTGCTTTTTGGAAGTGACTGCTTTTGTATGGAAAGGAAGATGAGCAGAGAAATAGTTACCGACTGTCAAACAACCAATTATTGAGATTTTGATGTTAAAGTTATGCATGAACACAAGGAGTGTTTTAGTTGATTTTACAGGGAAGTGGGTTGAAAAATGTTGCACAGTTGAGATGTGTCCAACCAACTTTCAAGTATCTAGATGTCATGTCAAGTAAAACACTTTCTTGAATGACAACTTGTTTAGTAGTGTTAAGTTTCGTTTACGTTCTGTTGGTAAATTAATAGACGTGGGCTGTATTTTTTAGGTTGGCATTGAGTTCATGGACCTGTACAGCCATCTTGTTCCTGTGTATGATGTTGAACCACTGGAGAAGATCACAGATGCCTACCTTGACCAGTATCTTTGGTATGAAGCAGACAAGAGGCGCCTGTTTCCTCCTTGGGTGAAACCAGCTGACACGGAACCTCCCCCACTGTTGACTTACAAATGGTGCCAAGGTTAGTTTGTGTGTGATTCACTGTGAAGTTTGACTAAGAGGTGTGTAGTTTCTTTCAAAACAGTGAAATCCCAATTCCTTGAGATTGCTTATCCAGGATCATGGAGTGTATGTGGCTAACACCATTTTTTGTTGGTTCTTGAGAAATCAAATTAAAAGTTTTGGAAGGAAGCAAAATTAAGTTCGAAATATCTTAAGTTTTGAAAATCAGGGATAAAATTACAGTGTCTGACTGAAGCAAATCAAAGGCAAACAACTTTTGGCTTGAAAAATCGGTAGTTTCAAAAAATCTAGTTTTGAAAAAATTGGGATTCCACTGTAAAAGGGTATTGGTATCTATAGTTACCCCTTAGCATTACATCTCTTATCCTAATGAGATGAATGAAAACAAAAAACTAAATATGACCTAAAATAACATGAAAGAGAAAAACTTATGATGACTTCAAAGTGTGAAGAAAAGTTTTTGTTCCATCTTTAAGAAGTATGTGGTAATTTCTCATGCATGTTAAAGTGAGCACTGTTGTGCGGTTACATTTGTACACACTATGGGCCAGTTGTTTAAACCCAATGTTGGATGTTATTGCTAACATCTGGCATTCAAATGAACTCTATAATGGAAGAGTTTGACTGGTCTGAACATATCATATCAACATTAAAATGCAGTCTAACCTCTCCATACGGACACCTCTATAATACGGACACCTCTCTATTATGGACAGTTCATTTGGTCCCAGAAATGCCAAAAATCATACATTCCCTAACTCTATGATACAGACACCTCTGTAAAGCAGACACTTGGTTTTGTCCCTTTGGTGTCCATATTAAAGAGGTTTGACTGTACATACAAATGGACCCAGTGTCCTTACTTCAAACAGGTGAAGATGATAACCTTATTTACTCTTGATGTACGAGGCTAGTTAAGCTGCTAGTGCCCTGGTCAAAATGCATCTCAGTTGAAACATCTTGCATTGTGCAGTGCCATGCAGAATGCATGCTCGTAAGATGCAAAAGTGGCTGAAAAATTTGGGTAGATGGTTCCCAATCTTGGCAGCTAAAAAAAGCAGACTGAAAATTATCTGATGTGCATTAAAAAGCCTCATAATTAAAAGCAATTACCTTATTTAAACATCGGCTTATTTTCATGATTTTAGGAATCAACAATTTGCAAGATGTTTGGGAAACATCTGAAGGAGAGTGCAATGTTATGATGGAGACCAACTTTGAGAAGATGTATGAGAAGATTGACTTGACCTTACTGAATCGACTGTTACGTCTGATTGTGGATCACAACATTGCAGATTACATGACAGCAAAGAACAACATTGTGATCAATTACAAGGTACAGTCATTAGTTTGTTCTATTATTGTGTATTTTGTAGCTGGCAGGAAGCAAGGATTGTTGGTAATTTTAAAAACAGCTGTAGCATTTGGCAGTACTTAATTTGTTTTAGTGTTCTTGGTTGAACTGTGTTCTATAACATCTCTTTCATCAATAAGTGATACAGCCGTGAACTATATGTTTCAAAACAGGAGGAGGCAGCGTGGCCAAGTGGTCAGTGTGTTAGACCCGCAACTTTGGTGATCCTGGGTCCCTGGCCATTTGCTGGATTTGTTGTCCTTAGTTCAAATCCTCTGCCACGCTTGTAAATAGCCCACTGGTTTCCTGCTACCAGTTTATCCTGTTATGTTTTATTGAATTATTTGTTTCTTATTATTTAAGTGGAGTGCTATATAAACTGCTACCCAGAGAATTAGTACTTCAAGACAACCAGTTGCATTTTTCACTGCAGGATAGAGATTTTATCTAGTAGATAGTATTATTTCCCAGTATTAATCTCCTACTTTACTTAACCTGCATTATAAGATAGCACTTTGAGAATACTAAAGGTGAAATAACAAATTCCTGCAAGTGCCAAAAATAACATCACATGTTCACTTGTGTTATGTCAACAGGATATGAACCACACAAACTCCTATGGCATCATCCGTGGTCTTCAGTTTGCCTCATTCATTGTACAGTACTATGGATTAGTGCTGGATCTTCTGGTGTTGGGCTTACAAAGAGCCAGTGAGATGGCAGGACCCCCACAGATGCCAAATGACTTCTTAACCTTCCAGGATGTGCAGACAGAAACCCAACATCCAATCAGATTGTACTCAAGATACATTGACAAAATGCACGTCTTCTTCAGGTAGCTTTTTTTTTTCCTGTTATTTTCTTTCACAAAAATAGAACATGAACATCATCACGGGTTAATTGTTATAAAACTTTTTCGATGCTACAGCACTAAGTCGAGCAATATAGTTTCCAGGTTTCTCACAATTATGATGCTGAGTTATTTGCTCTGATTGATCAAACGTGTATCCTTTTGGGTCTGCTTTTTGCCCTTGTTATGTATTGAAAACTGCCGTTGAATTAAAAAGGGTTGGCTTTTAAAATACTATGCCTGTGTTAAGCCAAACTGGCCCATTTTTCATTTATCTGGGGGCAATCTGTGATTGCAACATAGGATTCCCACAATGGCACAGTATGGCCGAAACACCGGATATTACCAGGGGTATCAATAGAAGGCGAGAACCTGGTGCTGGCAGCAGTGTACTCTGAGCAGAGCACCTGCCTTCAAGGAAAATGAGAAAGCTGATTCTCAAAATAACTTTCCAACGTTCCCTACCTGCTCAACCTTGAAAACCCTGTATTGCTGAGTGTAACTCTGTTTTGGAGATTCACTGCTAGACTGACTCAAAAGATAAAACCATCCAAATCATTTAAGAATTGTCTTGCGATCAAAATATTCCAACACTCTTTTCTAGGGTAACTGGCAGCATAGTCCTTTTTCCTGCGGTGCATACATGTAATGTTAAATGTGGTAAAATTCTGAATAACTGAGACTGGAAGACTAAAAGGAGAGAAGAAGATTAATATTATTTTCTACATGGTTTTTTGTACAGCCCAAGAATAATGGCAAGCCTTTAGTTTATATTAATAATTTATTTTTTGTGGGATGAAACACTGTATAATGTTGTGATTTTCAAGGGTTTTTTGGTGTCTTTAGATTTTCAGCAGATGAAGCTCGTGATCTTATTCAGCGATACCTTACAGAACACCCTGATCCTAACAATGAGAACATAGTGGGCTACAATAACAGAAAATGCTGGCCCAGAGATGCTCGCATGAGACTCATGAAACATGATGTTAATCTTGGGCGTGCTGTGTTCTGGGACATTAAGAACCGTCTGCCAAGGTCTGTCACCACCCTCACTTGGGATGAAAGCTTTGTGTCTGTCTACAGCAAAGATAATCCAAATCTTCTTTTCAACATGTGTGGATTTGAATGTCGTATTTTGCCCAAGTGTCGTACAACGTTTGAGGAGTTCACACACAGGGATGGAGTCTGGAATTTACAAAATGAGGTATGCAGTGACAAAAAAAAGCCAGTTTCAAGTTACTTTAAGCTTCTTTATTAAAGCAACTCTCATTGCAAACCCATTTGTAAGAGAATGGGTTTTACTTGATTTGAAGGGGAACTTTACACTTTTCTCCTGAAAGGGTCAGATGTCAAAGTTAAAAAAAACAACTTTTGATTTGACAAGATCTGAAAATTAGGTCGTTTTGTGCAAAGTTCTTTTAAAGATGTTTTATTCAAGTTGTTACTTAATAGCATTTAGTCAATTAACTACAGAAGGTAAGAACTAGATTGGATTTCTTCAAAATTCACTTTAAGGGTCAGTGGTCATAGTCTCCACAATTGTTTGACCATCAAAGTTTTGCTCTTCCTCTTTGTGGCTTTGACAACTTACTCTTGCCCCAAGATGACAAGGAAATCTCTGTTACATAATGCTAATGTGCTAGTCAGCTTGGTTCTCATAGATGCTGCACTTCAGGGTTCTGTACAATAAATTTACAGTCAAATCCCTAGTAAAATATCATCAGATGATTACCTGTGAATGATCTTTTATTATTTTGCAGGTGACCAAAGAGCGAACTGCCCAGTGCTTCCTAAAAGTTGATGAGGAGTCACAGCAGAGATTCCACAACAGAGTTCGTCAGATTCTCATGGCTTCAGGTTCAACTACTTTTACAAAGATTGTGAACAAATGGAACACTGCTCTGATTGGTTTGATGACGTACTACAGGGAGTCAGTTGTCAACACTCAGGAACTCCTGGACTTGTTGGTCAAATGTGAAAACAAGGTGAGTGTTTATAATTACAGAAGTCATTCTTCTTTGTTTGCTTCTGTGTAATCGTGTGTTCTTGTCCTGTCCCTGTATTCGTTTGGCCCTGACCTTCTCACTTTTGGGGATATCTGTCGTGACTTTGAACCCGTTTATTTTTCTTTCAGATTCAAACACGTATCAAGATTGGTCTGAACTCCAAGATGCCCAGCCGTTTCCCTCCGGTTGTGTTTTACACACCAAAAGAGCTTGGTGGTCTTGGTATGCTGTCCATGGGACACGTGCTCATTCCTCAGTCAGATCTCAGGTTACTTGAAGTTTCCATTGTTGTTGTTGTTTTTCTCTTTCTCCAATTTGAATCAAGGCCATCAAGTTTTGATGAAAGAAGCCTGTTTTAAGATAAGAGTATAGCCCAGCCCTACTGCTATATTGCAGAAATGAGAGCATCACTTTTTTTTCTTGATTGCTCAGGAATTTAAGAGGCAATAATCTTCTCGAAGATTAGCCTGTTCCATGCTTTCAGATAGTAGGGATGATGCGTAAGTGAAAGGCACACAAAGATATGAGCGCGTGATCTGGAAAAATGGAAGGTGGCGGGAAAAGGTAGGGAGACAGGCACCCTTTCTCTCCCCAGTTTCCTCCTGTTTTATTTTCGCGTGTGCTCGTTCTCAACTTTGCAGACCCAACTATTTTGGAGCTTGGAACAGGCTACTCGAAGATTAAAGTGCTAATACTATGTTTTCTCTAATTTTCGCCTTCAGGTGGTCTCAACAAACTGATGCAGGGATTACTCACTTCCGATCCGGAATGAGCCATGACAAAGATCAGTTGATCCCTAACTTGTACAGGTAACATTCCTCCTCCTTCTTCAAAAAAATCATTTCAGCAACAAGTGTAAAGTGGAGGGATTGTTACTCTAGAAATTTTAAGAAAGCCAAAATTTGTTCCAGCAGATATTTTTATAGGATACTGGTATGGTCTTCTGGCTTGTTGCTAGCCTCTTGCTTAGGCTTTACCACTGATAAACGTATCCCGATTGTCAGACGGTTTGACATTGCTCTCTTAAACTCTCTTCTCTTCCATGAGTTTGAGCAACCAAACTCAGACCTTAAAATCAGAAGCAAATTATTCTTAACTTGTCATAACTTGAATGGTTAGGCAACTTTCATTAAGTTAATAATGCTGTTCTCTTGGTGACATATCAGGTACATCCAACCATGGGAGAGTGAGTTCATCGACTCTCAAAGAGTTTGGGCTGAGTATGCCTTAAAACGGCAAGAAGCTAATGCTCAGAACAGGTGAGTGCTCACACCTTTCATGCTACTGCATTCTGATAAGAATACCCATGTATTGTACTGTTTTGGTCACGATATAGGCTCGATTACCAGTTAATAAGCGTGCTCTCCTCCCCTGAACAGAGAGAAGCAGAAATTGAGCCTAGTCGCCAGGGTGGGTGGAAAAAATGTTGGGCAACTAAAATCAGGGCAAGCCGTCAATTTGGTGTCCTGTGTTCAGTAGTAATGTGGCAATGCAGTGATTTTCATTACTTCGTGTCGATGGACTTTTTTAAGTGAAAGTGAGATAAACAATTGTATGAAATAAATGTATTTTTTGCTCCATTTTCATAACAATTCACCTCTCAAAATATCAACTTTTGAATCGTTTTATTGCGATAAATTGAATTATATCAAACTAGCTTTTTTTTCACTCCCCACCAACACAACGCAACAGTAGAGTTTGTTTTTGAAATTGACCCCTTCAACAATTAGCACCTGAACGTACAGATAACATTTGAATATTTTTCAAGGCTAATATTCAACCACTGTTAGCAGTCTTATCTTAATTGTTAACCGTAACCTTCTTGGTATCTTCTGTGTATGGTAATTGTGCAAAGAAAATGTTTGCTTTATCTTATCTGTTGATTCCTTCCTAAGACGTTTAACCCTGGAGGATTTAGAGGACTCGTGGGATCGTGGAATACCTCGAATTAACACACTGTTTCAGAAGGACAGACACACACTTGCTTATGACAAGGGATGGAGAGTTAGAACAGATTTCAAACAGTACCAGGTAAACCTTTTAACAATCATGTTCGGTTTATTAGATTATGTTTTAACTTTAAGCGAAAATTTGTTCATTCAGTACTGAGTGTCTAGTTTGACAGGACAATAAATTATGACGTAGAGTGAGCTATCACAGTGTCGTTTATCCTTTATTGAAAATGGCAGTATCATTAAGATTGAGTAGTTCCTCAAAATCTAGCAAAAGTTTGTGTCAGAAATGACTAAGAATGTACAAACTACCACCTGGGGTTGCTTGGTCTTGCTGTAATAGTAATGTACGTAAATACTGTTAAAGAGTGTCTGATTAACGTCTAGAAGCGAGTGGACTGAAACTAGAAAACGTCAGAATGACGACGTTTTCATGTTTCTCGTCTTCGTTTGTTCATGTTTCGAAATTAATTTATTTCTTGTGTTGTTTGAGGTTCATTATGTGTGTCTCACAATTATATCGCACTAGCTGAGGTAAAATCCTGGGAATGATCTTCAAATTAGCGCGCAAATTTCACGAGCTTGAACGTAAAACTGTAGAAAAAATTACAAAAAAGTTACTCATGGATGTTGTTGTTCCAAAGGTTCTCAAACAGAATCCGTTCTGGTGGACTCATCAGCGACATGATGGCAAATTGTGGAATCTAAACAACTACCGCACAGATATGATCCAGGCGCTGGGTGGCGTGGAAGGTATCTTGGAACATACACTTTTCAAAGGAACGTACTTCCCAACCTGGGAGGGTCTGTTCTGGGAGAAAGCTAGTGGATTTGAGGAGTCCATGAAGTACAAAAAACTGACTAACGCTCAGCGCTCTGGGTTGAATCAGATTCCAAACAGACGATTCACACTCTGGTGGTCACCCACTATAAACAGGGCCAATGTAAGTGACTCACAGTTTAAGTATAGCTTATGTTTTCCTGACTGCCCACCTACCCCTCCCATAAGTCAACAACACTTACTTCTCACTTAGTGCAAAATGTTGGCTTAGGGAGGGGGTAGGTGGGCAGTTTCCCAGAAACGTGTAATGATCTGAAATGTCTTAAGGGCATTTTGACCGCTATTCTCGCTCATACCTTATCTCTGTTTCATTTCTTGCAGGTTTACGTTGGATTCCAGGTTCAGCTTGATCTCACCGGAATCTTCATGCACGGCAAGATTCCAACACTGAAGATCTCACTCATTCAGATTTTCAGAGCTCACTTGTGGCAAAAAGTACACGAGAGTGTTGTCATGGACTTGTGTCAGGTACAGTTTACTAGCAGACTCATTTATTGAGCGATTTTCGTATGACCTTGAAAAATGGTTTCGGTAAGTCTTCGTTATTTGTTTTTTCAGCCAGTGGGTGATCAAAACATAGCCTCTTCCTTTTCCCGCCAAAGAAAACCCTAATATGGAGAAAGCATTGTTCGATTGGCTAGTCGTGTTGCAGTATGACGTCAAAGCGAAGTATCGGTTGATCTCGAGAAAGTTCTCGGGCATGATGAACTTTTTTCACCCGAGCGTTCGCTTAACCAACCAAAAGCCACGCGCGTTTGTATCCGTTCGATAAACCAATCAAACGGTTCTAGTGCCATTCGTTTGTTTTGTCTGTTTCGTTCGCGCGTTTTCATTTCAAGGTCATACGAAAATCGCTCTAACAAAAGAGAAAGGTTCAACTTCCACACGGGACTGGTTTAGGACACCAACATCGCCGCCGTTTCATTGTTGGGGACGCCAACATGGCGGACGTGACGTCATATGAAATAAGCTCTATAAGGACACTAAAAGCGCGTTGGTTTGACGCTATTCCGAACTAAGAATATATGGAACAAATTTGAGAAATCACCTGTTTAGGCAAGTCATGACATCGTAATATCTGCAGAAATCTAGTTGAAATACAGTATTACGATGCATGTAGCATTCCGGCGGTGGTCCAAAAAACTCTGATAAGAGAGATTTCTAACAGAATTTCTATGTACTCTTATTTCGGAATAAAATCAATCAAACGCTCCTTTAAACACTTAAGTAATCTGTTAATTAACAAGTACACGGTACTATGGCAGTGAGCGTGTTGCGCGTGGTGACGTCAATGTTTGCAAAATGTACGTTAAGGTATGGTCACACATTTCAGGAAAACGTAAATGGAGATAGTTACCCGTGAAGAAACTTATCCACTTTGAACACTGTTTATGAAAAACGTTTGCTTTGCTACTATCGTGAACATTTGGCCTACGCTTTTAAAAAGGATTTACAGTGCAACGAATTCAACCGGGGGCACCATTAATCAGCCAATCACGGGTCACATTAACAGCAAAATTTGGTACAATTCGTTTGCCGATCAAAAATGAAAAGATGTCTTTAAATTTGAAAGTGTCGTTGCAGGGTCCGGTTGAGTTTGTTACACTGTAAGGTATCAGTCGAAAATGAACGTTAACTTCTACGCATGGACTTAGTGTGTGTCGGTAATCAAGTATTAGAATTTGTACAAAACGCAAGTGAAGCTACTGGTGACGGCTGCGAAAAACGCATATGTAGAGGCGGCTTTTGAACTTCAGAGTTCGCTTGTTCTTGAAAAGCGATGTAACGCTGAATTTTACCCATGAAATTTGCCCATGATATTAGCCATACAATCTCTTCAGATCTCTCTCTTTGAAAATTTATTTTTCAACCACGGACTTGATGTGATTGACTGTTATGTAACTGTTGGTTGTCATAATTATTGTAGGTTTTTGATCAAGAACTGGATGCTCTTGAGATTGAGACAGTGCAGAAAGAAACCATTCATCCTCGTAAATCTTACAAGATGAACAGCTCATGCGCTGATATCCTCTTGTTTGCTGCATACAAGTGGAACGTCTCCAAACCTTCTATTCTGGCTGATTCCAAGTACGTCTCTCCTTTCTTCGTGCTGAAATTCTCCTAACGTGCATGAGCAGTTGATAATAGCCTTGTTGGAACACTTGGCAGTTAAAAGAAAGTCATTTCGATTATATTTGCTTCCATTCTCCCAGCTGTCTTCACTTCGGTTTGTAACAAATGAGCCCTTTCAAATTTAAGCGATAAAGATGCCTTTTGCTAATACATATTTTTAGGCATTTCTAGCAACTGCACCATGGATCACTGAGCCGCTTTTAGTTTGTGTGGGAGTTGTGTAAATGTCTCACGTCTCGTGCGCTCGTTGAATTTCTTTGGAAAAATCTATAGGAGTAAAAAATATCTGGAAGACTGCCTGGTGTCAAATGTTCGTCCATTTTTATGATGCGTTTGCTTGAATTTGTATTTGTATTACAAGGAGAAATTTAATGCCGCTGAGTATGTTAAAGAAATCTTCACTTCATTCGTAGTGACATCATGGATAGCACCACAACTCAGAAATACTGGGTCGATGTACAACTTCGCTGGGGTGACTACGACTCTCATGACATCGAGAGATACGCACGCGCCAAATACCTTGACTACACCACTGATAACATGAGCATTTACCCCTCCCCCACTGGGGTCCTCATTGGCATTGATCTGGCCTACAACCTTCACAGGTAAGAGAAGAATACGCTTGCCGTCAAAACAGTGCCAGTCGTTCGAAATGCCAAGAGTTAGCTCCTTGTTGGTAACACGGCTTCAGGAACATTGGTGTTTCCATGTGGGTAATCATTTTCACAGCAATATGTGCCGATCAATTTGAAACTCCTTGCCGAATAAGCCGTTCGTTTTAAAAAGCTGATTCTTTACCTTAAAACGCCTCCATCTCATTGTGAGAAAGATGGCATTGTCAGACCTTAACTTAACACTTCCGGTGAAATTTTCCCACCCAACCCAGGCCGTGGTCGAATTCCCCACTCCCCTGGCACAGGTGATGGTCAAATGCCCGGGATTTGCCCAGGAGAGGATGTGAAGTTTCAATTTGATCGGCGCTTTAGATTGCAAGATAATTCATATGGAAGTGCACCTTGAATATTTAGGTATTGAAGACACTAAAAGTGAATGGTAGTCAATGATTTGATGGAAGTAGCAGTTAACGTATCCATTTCATAATAGCGATGAGCTTTCCTCTCTTGCAGCGCGTTCGGTAACTGGTTCCCTGGTGTGAAACCCCTGATCCAGCAAGCCATGGCCAAAATCATGAAGGCTAACCCCGCCCTGTACGTGTTGAGAGAACGAGTCAGGAAAGGTCTACAGCTGTACTCCAGTGAACCCACTGAGCCTTACTTATCCTCACAGAATTACGGAGAACTCTTCTCAAACCAGATTATCTGGTTCGTGGATGACACCAACGTCTACAGAGTCACAATTCACAAAGTGAGAGCTTAGTTTTGTCACGTTTGCTATTATCTTTTTAAACCTCCTTCACATCTGTAAAGCGTGTATAGGTATTCGGGTTCATGAAATAAGAGTCATCGAACGAAAACCCCTTTTAAGCTGAAAAACAGACTGAATTCTTTATAGTGTTCAAGCAAGCTCTAACTTGTACTTCCGTTGTAATTTTGAAGCCGCTAACATACTTCTTGTACGGAGAAAACAGTTTTAAACCGTTTTAACTAAAGTGTTTGTTTACTTGGGTGTGAATGGAGACAAATTCTTCTCAATGGTAAATAGCGTGCATTTTGAAGCATCCTCTGAAAGTCGACATTAAAGACTTTTTTTTAATTCTACACGCATTGTTTAACATTAGCATCTACGTTTTCATTCCAGACGTTCGAAGGTAACTTGACCACGAAACCAATCAACGGTGCCATCTTTATCTTCAATCCTCGCACGGGACAACTTTTCCTCAAAATCATCCACACTTCAGTATGGGCTGGACAGAAACGTTTGGGACAGGTAAGTGTTGTATCTTATGGTGATTATCCTGCGTGGCAGGCGTCGAAAGAGGAAGGGAGGGGAATGGAGGTAAAAAAAAGAGAGGAACTGGGGGAGAGAAGGAAAGGACTGCCCCTCCCTTCTCCCTTTCGGGCTTTTCTCCCCTTCCCCTCCCCTCTCTTTTTTTGCACCTACCACGCAGGGTATATGGCGATATGTTACCTGTTCAAGCCATGAAAAAATATGACATAGTCGTGCGAGATTTTTGGATTCGGTCACTTTCACGAACAGAGTTTCTGACTCAAACATGTCCAATTCAAACATTTTTTAGGTTCCACTGGCAAAGTCTCTTCCCTTATAAGCCAGATATTCGTACACAAACACATGGACCCAGGGGAAAGAAAGCTGACTGTCCTCCGGGTCAGACGTCTAGTGTATATTGTATTGGTCGGCAGTACCTCACCTTAACAGTCATTGTCCAACTTTTTGAACTAACCAAGGGCATAAATTCTTTATTGGTGTGTTGTTTTAGTTGGCCAAGTGGAAGACAGCTGAAGAAGTAGCAGCTTTGATTCGTTCACTGCCGGTTGAAGAACAACCCAAACAGATCATTGTGACCAGGAAAGGGATGCTTGATCCTCTCGAGGTGTTGTATAGTTACACTTTAGTGTTACGTCAAGGCATCGTCACATTTTCCGTTGATATTGTTGGCTTCTGGACTCTGTGAGATAGACTCATGTCACCTTTGTCGCTTTTCGTTTAATTGTGGTGTAGTTTTGTTTTGATACAAGTGTCTTAATGTTTCAGGTCCATCTGCTGGATTTCCCTAACATCGTTATTAAGGGCAGTGAACTGCAGCTTCCTTTTCAGGCCTGCTTAAAGGTTTGTGTTTAAAGAATAGATCTGTTATAAATGAAGAAAAATAGAAGGAAAAGTTGGCCCAACGTTTTAAAGTTTCAATTCATGTTTATCCTTGGCGTCCGTTGCAACTGATGACAGGAAACAGATTCAATGCCTAAATATAGTCTTAAACAACGAAACTGTACCATTATTTTTTTAAATTCAGTTGATGCGAAGACAAGTTTTAAGTTTCATAATCTCTGTTCTCTTGTACCTTTTAGGTAGAGAAGCTTGGAGACATGATCCTTAAAGCAACCGAACCACAAATGGTATTGTTCAATCTGTATGATGATTGGTTAAAGACCATCTCTTCATACACGGCCTTCTCTCGTCTGATCCTCATCCTTCGTGCCTTGCACGTGAATGCTGACCGAACAAAGGTGCTCCTTAAACCCGACAAGACCACTATCACTGAGCCACATCATATCTGGCCAACCCTGACTGATGAGGAATGGGTACCAGTTGAGGTATGTTAAGTGTGAACCCTCGTCTATAATCCAGGGTGGCAATGTGTACATGCGACTTTTAGTGTAGTGCGTTTTGTCTCTTTATTTTGTGCTAAAACTCGGCTAGAATGATTTTAGAATCGTGTTAATCATCGCCTTTGCTTCTCTCATGTATTACTGTAGTTGACTAGTTCACTGCTTTTCTCTGTATCCATTTTTAATTTTTTGTTCGGTAATTGTTTTTTCGCCTTGTGAATCGTTTTTTTTCCCTGTCTTTTCTGTTGTATAGGTTGCGCTGAAAGATCTCATCCTGGCCGATTATGGCAAAAAGAACAAGTGAGTTGACTGCTTTCAACTTGAATCTTCACACAACTTACATTCAAAGTGCCTTTTGCCTTGAATACTAACCGTACTCTCCTTCGGTCTAACAGTAGCGTTTCTGTTTCTTCTCTAGCGTGAATGTAGCTTCCTTGACCCAGTCTGAGATCCGAGACATCATTCTGGGTATGGAGATCTCAGCACCCTCGCAACAGAGGCAACAGATCGCTGAGATCGAAAAGCAGACCAAAGAACAGTCGCAGCTAACGGCTACCACCACCCGAACCACCAACATCCACGGTGATGAGATCATCGTGTCCACAACGTCCAACTATGAGACCCAGACATTCTCCTCTAAGACTGAGTGGCGTGTAAGGGCGATATCTGCTACTAATTTGCACTTGAGGACCAATCATATTTATGTCTCTTCTGATGACATCAAGGAGACTGGTTTCACGTATATTCTACCCAAGAACATCCTGAAGAAGTTTATCGTTATTTCGGATTTAAGGACACAGGTCAGTGAGTTATTTGCAGTAAAGGTGACAAAAGCCAAACAATAATCGCTCAAGGCTTTCTTACTATAGCAGTTGCGGTGTAAATTTTTCATTCAACTGGCCCCAGTTGTTAAAAAGGTGGAGAACGTTCTCCGCTGGGTAAACCTTTCTCTATCCAGGTAAGAACAATTGTTTTCTGTAGTTCTTATCTGCTGGTTAGTGATTTATCCGGTGGATAGTTCTTTCGAACGTTTGAACAACCTGGCCCTGATTAGCTTCAATAAAAGCCCTTTTCTTAACAAAAAGTCTCCGATATGTCACACCCTTTACGGGACTCAACTACTTGGAAATCATACCTTTTACATCGGCTCATACTAATGTATATTTTGTAGGAGATACCCCCGCCCCCCTTTCCCCTCGAACAAGATTTGACCCCTATGCTTGACGTCAGGTTTGTCCGTGTAGGAGAGTAATAATCAGCTCACTCCGTAACTGTCAATCGTTTCACCTCAGATCGCTGGCTACCTGTACGGTGTCAGTCCGCCTGACAATCCGCAAGTGAAAGAAATCCGCTGCATTGTAATGGTGCCACAATGGGGCACTCACCAGACTGTGCATTTACCAAACATGTTACCACAACACGACTACCTCAAGGTAAGACTAACAGATTTTCATTTACCAAATTCTGACTGTGCCAAGCCCGTTTGTGCAGTCTCGTTGTATGTTAACGTTTGAGCACTGGTTCACAAGTCTCTGTGTGACAAGGCTAGGTATGTGTCCAAATATTCAGTATGGTGTTTGTAGTGAACTAAGGAAGACGTTTGCCGGAAAAATCAGGCTTTAATCACCAAATCTCATTCTATGCAACATGGCGGTAAAACTACAACCACGAGGATTGCAGGCTCTTATATAAGGACAAATCTCACTACATATACACTACACGAATTATCACAAAACTCGCAGTTCGAATGTTCCTAGTTCATAGCTCAGTTCGCAATGTCATTTACCACAGTGTTTGTGTTCGCCTGTTTGTAGGAAATGGAACCGTTAGGTTGGGTTCACACTCAGCCCAACGAACTACCTCAGCTTTCCCCGCAAGACGTTACAACACACGCCAAGATTATGGCCGACAATCCGTCATGGGATGGCGAGAAAACTGTCATTATTACTTGCAGGTATGTCACGTTGGTCAGGCTTCGTGCTAAAGAACATAAGGTTTGCTCCACCTGGGAAGCGAAGCTTATATTGTTTTATCAATAATATTTTTCTGGAAGCTTACGTATGTACTGCCACAGAAACATAATCGGCTCTGCTCAAAACTGCTTATCAATATCTCTTGGGTTACATTCAGATTTTTTCATTACTGACATCAAACAGATAGACACTTGTGTCCGTATCACTTCCGTGGCGGCTGCCGCCTTCTTGGAAAAATGATATGCAGTAAAGTTGGGCATGTGCCGAGATTTGCTGGTTATGTTGCCTTTGTTTTATTTATGTAGTTTTGTTTCCTCGTTGTTTTCAGTTTTACTCCTGGCTCATGTTCACTGACAGCCTACAAACTGACCCCTTCGGGTTACGATTGGGGGCGAAATAACAAGGACACAGGGAACAATCCCAGGGGTTATCTCCCCTCCCACTACGAGAAAGTGCAAATGTTACTGTCTGATCGTTTCCTTGGTTTCTTCATGGTACCCGCCCAAGGATCCTGGAACTTCAACTTTATGGGTAAGAATTGTTAAATTTCGTGTTATCAATTGATTTTTCCCCTCATTGTTTAACCAGGAGTGCTTACCGTTTACACCAACCACCCGCGCATAAACATAAAACTGTAGTATTAGACGTGGCGGAGGAACGACCCACTACAAAGTAAATCCAAACCAGCTGAACAGACTGAAAAGTAGAAACGTTGCATCCTTCCAAATGAGAGCCCATTATTTTCTGAAGGTTTTTAAACAGAATGGCGGGAACCATTTGATTTTCAAACCGGAATTTCTGGTTTTTCCATGCAAATGCAAGTACCCTTGGGTTGGTTTTTTTTTTTTTGTAACGGACAGTATGGAGAATGTGCACGTTGATATTAGGGAGCTTAAGCAAAGACGTTTTTGAGCGACGCACGTCAACCGGAAGTGAGGCCTTCTCACTATATATATGCCTTGACGCTAACAAATTTGTATTGCTAAGTTTCTTTTCTCTTATAAAGAGGATTTACCGGAGAGTTTCTACCAAACCACTCCCCAATGATGCAAAAAGTCCACTTCCGGTTGACGTCCGTCGCTCAAAAACGCTGCTGCTTAAGCTCCCTATGAGAGTTTCACGGTTAACGCATTGGTCTGTTATTTTTAGGTGTTCGTCATTCTCCTAACATGCGTTACGAGTTACAGCTGTCTAATCCTAAAGAGTTCTACCATGAAGTACACCGCCCCTCGCACTTCCTTAACTTCAGCACCATGGAGGATGTAGAAGTTATTGGCGCTGATAGAGATGACATGTTCTCATAAACCACAGCAGTCTACAAGCCATATAAAGCATGCATTCGCCTTTTAACTTCAACTAGTGAAAAACAACTGCTTGAAGTTACATGAAACGCCAAGTTTTGTCTTGGATCGAATTACAGAAATGGTAGTAGTTAAACAGTCGCAAACAATCTTCGATGCTTTTACTCAAAGATATGACAGAAAGTCCACCTGTGGTCAGACAGGGGATTTTCGAATGAAGTTTTGTCAAGTTATGTACCTCAGTCAGAAGGGATGGCTTAAACATGATATGGGCAAGCTTGTACTAAACTGTCGGGAAAATTGTCACTTAGCATTTTCGCCGCAAAGAAGTCATTTAACTTTCTTAAAAAGCTGAAATACCGTAAACTGCCGCTTATACGCCCTGGGCTAAGGGGATTTAATAGGGCTTATAAACGGAGGGGCTTATATCGGAGGGAGCTATTGTTTTGTTTACAGGTAAATGGGCCTTCAACTTTCGGGGGGGGGGTTCTGCGGCTTATAAGCGCCAGTTTACAGTATGCGCTAAATAGCACGTTAACCATGTAGGGTATTACGATTTGTTGTGTAATTGGAAGTCTTTGTTTAGTTTACTTTGCTTTTGTTACTTCTCGGAAGTTGCTGTCTTACTTCGCACTGTTTAGAGTATGTATTTTCGACCTATCAGTAGTCAGCTGCTGTGCTTTTTAGAAATGAAGATTGAAAGGCCGATCTGACCTTCTTTCATAAAGGAACAGTACTTGATGCTTTGTGTAAAAAGCGTGGATTTGTATATAGTGTGTAGAAGGTAATGTAACACTTACTATAAAGATGTCTTCGTAGTCTTAAATTCACGTGTGATTTTGATTTGTGTCTTTATTTTGTAGAACACTTAAATAAAACTATTCTTTACAGCCTTTAATTATTCGTTAAGTGTTTTCTTTATGCTTTCTCCTTCGCCATCAGACTTAAGGGTTTTGTTAAGAAGGCAAACTGCTATTTTGAACACTTCTCTAGAATAACTGCTTTATTTTATACTACAGTTTAGCTGTCGTCTGTTCAGTAAGGATCACAGATGACGTAAAAATGATTTAAGGGCAGTTTCCCCGGACGTTTCGCAAGGCGTTCACGTTCTCAAAGCAGAGTGATCGCGCAAATGTATTCAAAACGTCGCAATCTCTCGCAGCGGTGAGTGCAACTGTTGTGAGGATTTCTTGCAGTTTAGGTATTTTTAAGTCGCCAAGAAATCTCTTGTCTCGGTTTCTCCGTTTTTCTTACTTGTAAACAGCTCCAGCTAAACTTTTTTCGGGGCTTTCACTTGCTTAATCCGAAATTATCACGCAAACATTTTCAAAACCGCGCGCCATGTTGGATAAAACAAAGAAAACAAGTTTGCCTTAACGTCATCTGTGTGTCTACTCCAATAGATCATGGACAACGACCAATCACAGCGCGCGTAGCATTCATTTTGCGCGCTGCTGAACTTGCTTCTGTTTCCCGTAAGTTATTCTTTTTTTCATTTTCAGCACTAGAATTTGGTAATCCAGTCGATCACGAGGTTGCGCGATTGAATTTGGACAACCCTTCTCCTCCGCCCTTGTTAAGTTTCTCCATACTTTGATTTAGTCAGGAGATGGGCTCCTGATTTAGTCTATTTACAGTCTTCGCATGCAAACACATAGACGTATAAATTAATATCTTAGTCCCAGTTGTTAAGAGAGCGCGTATCCCACCCTGGGCTGTGTTGATAATGCTCAAAATAATGGCTATGCTTCGCCTTTCAAGCAAGACCTCCTTTGATTTGAGTAAGCAAAGAGTGAACAGGCGATTCTACTGTTTCTTTCGCCTTGTTTTCTTTGTGTGGTGTGTACCACCTGATCCTTCACCCACAAATACTTGACCTTCTTGCAACTCCTGTAAGAGAAGAAGACAACTTAAGTTAAACACTTTTAACCCTAATACCTAATATCAAAATATAAATTCTCGTTTGTTGTCCCTGTTCTTCCTATCGGTGGTCTTCATGCAATCTCGGGAGACACAAATAACAATGGTGAAATAACCAAATGCTGGTGGACAAACAAAGCGAGCTAATGAGCGATCTTTTGTTTACCGTCCACCAGCATGGCGGCGATGACGTAACGTGAAAACCACCTCAAGTGGTGTGGAAAATGTGTTTTAAGCATCAATTAAATTTACCTTGTGTGATTTTGTCCGTAATTCTCGGTACCACTTATTTGGTCAATTCAACGTTTTCTAAGAATTATGCCCGTACGTACACGCAAGCAAGTCGTATTGAAAGTAGCGTGAGACCAAACCGAGGTAGCCCGCGAAAACAGCTGTCTACGTCCCACACGGCGAGCAGCGAGAAGAGACGAATGTTTTCTAAAACCAAGGTTTTTATTAAAATACCTGTCTTGTTTCTTCCGAGGCGCTGGCTATCGCTTGCTGTGTCTCCAGATGGCGCATGAGATCTGCTAGTTGCTCCTGGAGATCAGCGACTTCCTATGGAAAAATCAAAGAAAACCGATTAGCGTCTGGCCCACTCGAAAGTCTTCGATCAGCTACATGATTTCAAGGAGTACCTGTTTCTTGGCAGCTTCCAATAATTGTAACTTTTCTTCCGTTTGTGACAACTTCTCTTGGAATAACTTCTGATTGTCTCGCAAACACCTGTTTAGCTGAAAACAGAGAATATTGAGTTACTTATTCACATCGAGTATTTCGATTGTTGTAAAGACCAGGGGCGGATCCAGAAAATTCGGGAAGGGTGGCCGGGACACTTGCCAGCTATATAGATAAGTTTTATTTTACTGAGAATTCTTTAGAAGTTAGGGAAAATCAGTTCACAAAAAAGGGGGGACGCGGTCCCCTCGGCCCACCCCTAAATCCGAAAAAAGATGGAAAGCCGTCTATTTTGAAGGGGGCGGGCACTACGATGGTAAATACCTTCCGGCCAAACTAGAAAATACTGTTAACATGTTACAGAGTATCAATTTAAAAGGTCCAAAAGTTAGTCGGTTTACAAACCTCTTGTTCATCTTTGAGATTGGTGACTAGTTTGCCAACCCTGTTTACAACCTGCAAAAATTAGAGAATATCCACCAATCTAAAGTATTTATATTGATTTTAATTAAGTTTTAATTTTTAATTTTCATTGTCTGTACATGGCCCAACATTCCCAATCTAACAATAAAAGGCGAACTCAAGATATCTATCGGCAGATAGTTGACGCCGAGTGGCGAACCTCAGTGACAACTATCAGAACTGACAGATATTTCTTCAGTAACCAGTTTAGTAAACTGAAGTCTTCTTCGCCACGAAGATTTTTAGCTCAACACAGCGTTGCAAGGTTAGGAGATAAAACACGGGACCATTTACAACGAAAAGTTTTAGCGCAACACAAACGTGCACGCGAGATCCGTTGAAAACAGACGTGTTACCCGGGACGATTTTTTGCGCGACAAAGGAAGGCAAAAGGGTTCTTAAAAGGCGTTTCGCGGAAAATTGACGACACGTATGCTACACGAAAAAATCTGAACGAAATTCGTGATTTGGTGTTGAACGTTTCTGAAGCCTATGCAAAAACTTGCAGCGCAAAAATTGTGCTGAAAATCGTCGGCGCATCCATGTTACACGGCATAACGGGCATCATTTTAAAAAGCAACATCGTTGCGCTAAAACTCGTCGTTGTGAATCGTCCTGTGTCACCTTGGTAACATCACCTTCACCGTGAACACTAACAGCGTTGCTGATTGTTGACTGAAAGTTTGCAAACTAAAATTTGGGAATGTTTGTGTAGTTTTCAAAGCAAATGCATTGGTATTTTAATACAGTAAAAACCCGCAAGTAAGAACCTACATTTTCTGGAGTTAGCCTAAACAGGTTCTTATTTAAATGGTAGTTAACACAATTTTAGGCTATTTAGGTTCTTAAATCGGTTCTTATTTCTGTAAAAAAAAATTAAATAAAAAAACAAGCTACAAAACAAGATGGTAATCAGCCTATTGCTGGTTTGCACGTGACGTCACGGCGGCCATGTTGGTGGTCAATAACAAAAGCATTTCTCTCCTCTGGGAACTAAACTCTATTTTCATGTAAATTCTTCGAGGAAATATTCTTTTGTTTTGACCCCCAACATGGCCGCCTTGTCACGTGGTTGCAAACCAAGAATTGGTCAATTTCAAAATGCGATACAATGATGTTAATCTTTTGCACTTTATTTTTTTATTACATCAGTAAATTAGCACTTTTATTTGCACAGCAATGCCAAGTTCCTAATTCTCCAAACAGGATTCTTGCACAGTTTTGCAGTAGCCTGAATTTCATCCGATTACTTCGAGTCGTTATTACTCCCTCAGTTGTTGAGAGGAGAAAACGACTCAAAGCAATCGGATGAATTTCAGGCTAAGTTTTGCAGCTGCATTTCAATAATATGATTTTAAAAAATAAGAACCTGTTTTTCATTTTCTAGGCTAAACAGGTTCTTGTTTATAGGGGATATAAATGGCAAATTTTAGGCTAACAGATTCTTAATTTTCAGGTTCTTACTCGCGGATTTTTACTGTAGGAGGTCAGTTAATACCTGCGCATATTTCTTTTCCACGTTTTTCTTTTCTTTTTCAGCTTCGGAAAGTTTCAATTCCAGTTTTTTACATTCTTCCAGTGTTTTCTTCGTCCGCTCTTCCATTGAACTCACCTTAAAAAGGTTTCCAAATGTAAAAAATCAAGTAAGGGAAAGACAAAGACTGTAAGGCGAATATGCAATGTTTGTTGATATATTTAACTGCTCCATCGGGCCACAGGGATTTGATAAAGACAGCAAACTTTTTTTCCGATTGCTGCGACAATTTTTCAATTCATCTCAACGTAGGTCTGTTGCTAAAGCGGAGTTTCCTTTACTTTCCATTATAAATAACTTATTAACATATGGTGTAAGAACAGCAGTAAGTGTCAGTATTTAGAGTGGTGTCCGTCTCTTTTTTCGGCGGGAAAATGTGGAGACAGCAAGAAGCGCTGCAATCTCTTCGTGAAATAAAACCCGCTGCATACCGCAAAATATACTTCGGGTCTCTAGCGTCAGCGCTCCAATTGAAACCAAGATGCGACCATTTTCTTTGGTCGCCGTAGCAAGTAAAACAAAATTTTAGAGACGAGTCGCCAATTTTGGCAGCAGTGCGCCGTGTTACCAACTCCGTGGTGTTTTCGTATGGAGCTTAGTATCTGCCTTAAAGAGGTGTGCGTTAAGAGAAAGCTGACTACATATAACAAAGAAGCCGAGTTTTGGATACAAAATAGGGAAAACAATGAACGCTTTATTCACCTGTTCAGCGGCATCTTTTTCTATCTGTGTAATTTTTTCTTGGAAATAATGCCTTTGGTTTTCTAGTTGACTGGTTAAAAGGTACGTGTACTAAAAACAAAAGTGAGAAACATGAGGACGAATCATCAAAAGGGTTAAGGACTTTGTTGTTGTTGTCCCGCACTAGGGATAACGATAGTCTGGTTTCCTCTTTTGCGCCATCGCCGAATCGGATACCACGATTTATGAGCAGCTTTAAGTATACCACTATGTTTGTTCAGGCTTTCAGCAGCTTACTATACTCTTTCTATCAATCTGTTGAAAATGTTCCCCGAAGAAAAGACCTTTCTGCTAACAAATTTTAATTCTATTATCTGGGGAACAAGCTGAGAGAATCAGTGAAAATGCTTACACTGTCCTGAATTCGTGTGTTTCTCCCAATTTACACCAATGAACGATCTTAACAATTACCGGCCTTGTGAAGGGCACCTTGAATTTGGTAATTTAGAGCTTTCGGACTCCCTACGATTATTCATGAAGCACAGGCTCCTAGATTTCATACTACAAAAAATCACACATATTACCTCTAGCGTTAAAGAATCCATCTTTTCTTCATCCATAACCTGCAAAATTAGCAAGTAAAAGAGTACGCTTTTGTTAAATCTTGTAAACACGTAATGCAAACCCCACCTTAATGTGTTCCAGCATATCCCCGATTCCATAAAAGACAATAGCGCTCTGGGAAACTCTTGTTTGGCGGTCACCCCAGCAAATCATTGCAGTGAGTTCCGTATGCCCAAATACCCAGGGACGTTCCATTTTTTATCCGCACCCCCCTGCGGATAGCAGGTTTTTGAATAGGGTGTTCGGATTTTTTTCTTCAAAGAAGCCGACAAAATTTGGACCCTTAAGACAAATTTTTCCAAGGTGCCGACCAAACAGGAGCCCTTCGGATTTCATTTTTCAAAGGGTGTCGACAAAAATCTGCGGGTTCGGAATCCAGTCATCTTTGAGGGGGGGGGGGCGGAAGGTGCGGACAAAAATTTGGGGCGCGGATAAAAAAAAACACGTCCCCCAATACCCAATTGCAAATGACCAATGGTGAAAGCAACCTTTATTGAATTAGGTATATGTCAAATTCAAACTTATCGCTTTTAAGATAAACATAGAATTTTCCACTCAGTGCTGTCCTCACCTGCTGTCCTGACCCAAATTCTACTAGTTTTCCGTCAGTCTTATTCTGAATCAGACGATGTACAAAGTTATCTAAGGAAGAAGTAAACGCTTTAGTTACTTTTTGATCAATAGCAGCAGAAGCATGGTTTTTCAAGGAATTATTGCTTTTTATTCTTACAAAAGACTAGCCTTGCAAACAAAAACAAAATTAACAAATGAAACTCATTCAAGAATACAAATTGAGGGATCCTGAATGCGTTACCTGATGTAACGACGAACAGAATGATGTAGCGTGAGAAGAGTCAGAACGGCGGCTAAAAAGCGACTGTGATTATAAAAATGCTACACTAAAAATGCTACACTTTATATCATAGGAATTCATATCGCCATGGTAAGCCAAAGAACAGCATGATGTAGCATGAGAAAAGAGTCAGAACGGCGGCTAGAGAGCGACTGTGATTATGAAAATGCTACACTTTATAAAATGGGAATTCACATCGCCATGGTACGCCAAAGTAATAGGAATATAGAGCGATAATATATCGTACCTCCGGTATAGTCCCATACTCTTTGGGTCCCAAGCTCTAAAGAATACGTGTGTTGAGTCTCTTGGAAATGTCTGTGATTACAAAGCAACAAATAAAATCGACTATATCTTGGAGAGAAGCAAAGTGAGGTCAATCAACACTACGATCGAGCTCTACTAGACAATCATGACAATTTTTGACTATCATGTTAAAAGGACAGTTCCCTAATTCTTTCCAGCTTGGATGTTTACCATTTACCAAAAGTCTCTGAGAAAGCCGATGGAAAGGTAAATCCATGGAGTAAATGGTACACGGCTTTTCGAATCGTTCCCGACCCATCCAATCGAACAGTTCGGCAATCGAACCCAATCGAACACCAATCGTTCGATTGCTGAACTGAATCGAACATAATCGAATTCACAATAAAATTTTGCCAATCGAACACAATCGAACGTTCGATTACCGAACGATTGGTAATCGAACCCAATCGAACGTTCGATTACCGAACGATTGGTATAATCGAACGTTCGATTAACGGACGCCGCATCGCATGATAGGCACGTGGTATTGGAAAATTCCGAAGGTGAAAGTGAAATCATCGCTAACTCCCTTCCCTTTTTACGCGGCTTTTGCTGAGCACTGAACCCCAGGACTGAAATGTCTGAAATGTCAAACACGGAGGAGAGGGAGGACACTACATGTATTGAAATTACATGCAGTGTAAAAGGTTACCAAGAATGTAATTTTACTGTTGATGTGGGAGAAGAATTCTTTATCTTTAAGAAGATTGGCTCTAAGGGAAGAGCATTCAAGGTTACCAACACTAAAGGGCAGTTAGGACATCTTGAGCGGACGTTGGTCTCACCACTTTGGCCCTTTAAGGACGGGATGAAATGGTGAGTTATGATCCCACTTACGGGCACTTATGCTAAACGGATTTTGTTTTCACCGGGTTTTAAGGAGAAAATGGCCGTGTTTTCACGAGCGATTTTTCAAGTCGCTTAGCGACTTTCAACCGGAAATCTCGTGAAAACAGTTACTTTTCCGACTCGCTTAGGAATTCTCATTAAATTTAAGCCACCAAACAGTTGGCAATTAACTTCGGCCAATTAGGATGCGCTTGTGGTCAAACATTTGACCAATGTTGTCAAATCGGAAAAAGAACACGCGTTCTATTTTTGCGCCTCGTCCAGGGCGAACAGTGGTGTTCGTGTCAAGCGGAAATGCCACGAGGGATAACAGAAACTTCCCCCGGGAATAACAGGAGAATTGTTTTCCTTTTTTTTTCAGCAAAGTTATTGGAACATTGACATTCTTGCAGTATGATGTTCAGTTCCTGTTTATTCAATAAAAGCTGACAATGATTATATGCCACGTGTTTCACTCAGTTTGAGGCGCCAAGAGACAATTGCATTGGATTAGTTCGATTTTGTTCGATTATATTGGTTCGATTGGTTCAAAAATCGAACTCACAGCAAAATAGGTGTTCGATTTTGTTCGATTGCCGAACCCAATCGAACGATTGGAGTTCGATTGGGTTCGATTGGTTTTTTGTTCGGTTTTGTTCGATTGGATAGGTCGGGAATCGTTCCAGTGGAAAATTTCCGGGAGCGGAGGAACATTTGAAAAGGTAGTCCTATTGTTTCGGACGGGATGTTCCAAACGGAAATCAGTGTTCCATTCGTTAAAGCCCAACTTTGATTCGAGTTTCAGACTTTCGCGGCAGTTTTTCGGTAAAAGGAACTGATTTGTGCAAATGGTAAACACGATTTCGGAATGAAATTTACCAGTCCTGAATTTTTCTTACCATTTGCCCAAACCGTGAACCGACCGGTTAGCCCAAGTAAATAGCTGTGGTTTGCAATGCCACGCTTGTGATTGCCCAAAGCTTCATGCACCAATTTCTTAACCAATCAGAAGCTAAATCAGAACCAATCATGCCTTGCTAGCATTGGTCGTTCGAACGCGTTTTCCCGCGCTCAGCACCGGTTACAATAATTTGCCTCGATATCTGATTAGTCCGCAGTTGGACTTCTTCGCGTGTAGCGCAGGGTGCATGAATTTGCTTCGAGTTCTGATTGGTCAGTTGGACTTTTACATGAATTTGCTTCGAGTTCTGATTGGTCAGTTGCACTTTCCCGAGCTCATTGCCGGCTACATGAATTTGCCTCTAGTTCTGATTGGTCAATTAGACTTTCACGCGCTCATCGCCGGCTAGATTAATTTGCTTCGAGCACTGATCTCGTCTGCTGTGGTTAACTGAAGAGTCTTAACCGTTCTCACTAACCTCTTCGCATGCGACCTTAGATATCTACTACATCCTATGTGGCCACATATGAGACATATCCACAGGCTCTACGAAGACGAACGGAAAGTAAAAGGTAAAATTAATCAACTAAAGGCAAATGCTACGAAGAAGTGCTTCAGTCGCTAATTTTTAAAACAAACTACCATCTGTAAATGCTTCTTTCATTGTTTTTGTTTTGTTTCTTTGTTTGAATGTTATTTTTATTTCTATGTATGTTTATGTACTTTGTAGTCGATTAGTTTAGTCTTGTTATTTTTAAGAAGATAAAAGACGACTTATTTCTTACTGAAAAGAAAAGTCTTTGCCTGTAAAACTAAAAGATACATTCCTAAAACTCGATAACAATTAAGGAGCCAAAGTCACAGGACATCACGCATCGTAACGCCCTAAATATTTGATAAAACAATCTTCATTTTAACATCCTTTAATTGCCCTTCAAAGTCACTAAGTGACGCAAGTTAGGGTCATCCTCTGTGTAAAAACTTGTGAATTTTTCTTTGTTTTCTCGCTATTATTTTCTTTGGCTCGTATTGACTTGTCAGTGACTTCTTTGTATTAATTGTTTTACGTCACTCGTGAGTTTTACAGGTTTTTACACCGAGTATGAGCAGGAAGTTAGATCTAACTCTCAAAACAGTGTTTCATCACAACATATCGACGATCGTCAAAAATACTTTCCAAAGAATAGTTTTATCAGCTCTCTTCTCGGTGTTTGATATGTGATAAACACGCTGTCTCGTGTTCGACATATGACATATGAAAATTGGTAGACGGCGTAATACCTCATTAGAGTCGCACTCAAAGCACTTGTTCCCGTCCACAGGCTGTGGAGTTTGACAATATCTACAAACTGGGCAACTGAACAAGACAAAAAGAAGGTATCGATTAACAAACAGCACTTAGTTAGTTCTAAATGAACCCTTTGCAACCCTTTCATGGTTTCCAAGGGTGTATTCTTATTTAACACTAGTTCCTTAAAAAAAAAAGCACTGCCCGTTTTCCCAATATATAACAACCCAGCTCGTTCCCGGGATTTCACCTTTGAAATTGGCGTGGCCTTGGGAATGAGTTTGAGCAAATGATAATCCATTCCAGAATGAAACTCTTAGTCTGTGAAAGGCTCTCGGCAAATTTGGTGTAAAGAGAAGGTGATGGAATCCTTGTCTTCTTTTTTCTACTCCCCATTAGCCTGCCTACCCCCGGGAGCCACAGGAAAGCCGTTGCTCGCAGGCTAGCTCCCCATCTACTGGCGCCTCTGCTTGCTACTGTTCGCCCTCACACACTAGAGAGCCTATTTTCAGGTTATAAAACTGTCTGATGTGCATACCCAATTTCCAACTTAACTGCTTTAAACCCACACTACTTTTTACAGCGGTACATACTACGCACATGTCACTACCTCCCCGCCGCTGAAATGTACCCCTTGACTGTCTGCCATAACCTGTCCTATATGCAATGAGTAAACAGCTTCACAATACTCACGTCGTATCAGACCATTTTGATAAACAGCTTCCGTGAAACGAGTGATTACAGAGAATGGTTAAAACTCCTTCGACAGATTCATCCTGGAAATATAACGGAAAAGATGACATTGTCATTACTATAGCAATACCGTCTGAGCTGAAAATAACAAAAGAGAAAAGTGACATTTTGATTCTAACACAAGAAGAGCAAAAATGAATTCACTTGATGCAAATTAAAAACAACGCACAGGTGCTACCACCTAGTATTTTTTTCTTAAGAAATGAACATCTTTTAACTATTCCCCGCTGATGTCTACAAATAGCCCCCACTGGTCTTCATTTTGCGTTATATTTTACAACAGCTCTACAGATTGTATTAATTAAGAAAAAAAACAAACATGACTACGAAATATATTTAAATATAGTTCTGTGTAATCAAGACAGAAAAACAATGTCCGATGTCTGCCTTTTCGTTTATGCACGCTCATCACAAAGCGTTGTACGAGACGAAAACGCAAAAGCCGGTTGGAGTAAATTTCAAATCTTTGGGAGAGGTCTTGAGGATCGTTCTTAGTGTTTAGAACCTTTTTATATCGGAATAATCAAATAGACTTACCATACGCTCTAAACACACCGGGCACTTTGGCAGCTCTGTTAGACCGACACATGGAAGACTGGCTCCCTTTAGAAACAAATAAAGTGATATTTGTGGTATTGATATTACCAGTCCTTTTGTCAAGTCGAGCTGATGTGAAGAACTGGAGGCAAACTAAAAACTTTGATGTGGTTCAGTTAAACATCAAGAGGCACAAGGCATGTGTAGTCGAAAGATCTGAAGAGAATAGACCTTGTCATCTATTTTCCACACTCATTGTCAGACACAGTCTCTATCACGAAGATACTATGCATTGTATTTTAATTATTCATTATGTCTGTATGGCGATATGCTTAGATGGGAATGGAAATTAGCATTATTTTGCTAAAAGAAAGGATATAAAAATAAACATGTGATTCTTTTTTTATCTTAATGTTTTTCAATTTCGCCTGTCGGTACAACGGTTCTAATCCGGCAGAGGAATTAAAACAACACTGAGTTAAATCTTTTAGATAGAATTTTTCTTACGATAAACCGGCAAGTGCCTTCAAGAACCAGACCAGCTCAATTTTAATCCTTTAAAACGACTCATGAAAAGATACATCACTGTCTACTTTGAAACATGCATTCTTTACGGAAACCTCTATGGTCGCCTGCAGTGTTCCTAAATAGACTTGTTGTAAAATAAATTCTAAAAATGTAATGAAATATGCTCGCTCATCCTGGTTTGTGTGTGATAGGGTTTGTTCATCGTTAACTTGTTTCACGAAAGAGGTCACTTAGTTGTTGATCACGAACGGTTTCGACTTCGTCATGTATGATGGTTGATTTTCTATGCGGGACTATTTATAGCACCGTGATTTGATTGGCGCATTACAAACCTCATTCATACCTCTGACAGCTTCATGGTTTCTACCTTGGCTACATAGACTAAGTGGCAAACCTAACGGAGAGAAAAGAGAAAGTGTACGGTATAAGGATAGATTTCCACGGTCGCGTAACTTTTATGTGCGTAAGTAAAGTAGAGGCAATAAATGAAAGGTCGCGAGTAACGTAAAAGTTGAAGCTAGCGGAACTTTTACGTTTACACGAGACAAAAAAAATTACGCCTCAGTAGAAATCCACCTTAAATGGGATTCGTTACTATTCCTATAAGGGGCTACGCAAAGCCGTAACCCTTACGTAGCGTTTCACGTCATGGCCGTTACAACCTTATAATGTGCGGGTAATGTATCACTGATTTGACAGATTGGTTAAGTGGGTACTATATGGCCCTGATTCCGTTGATCTTCACAAAAAAAGAAAGGGGTTTGCTAACAGAGTCGGCTTCCAAAAAGTGGTGTTATGACTGTTAAATACTGGAATAATCCACTCCCCCAAAAATTTATCAAGCAAGGTACCACGCAAAAACTGGGTTTTCTCCTCTCGTCTAAAATGTGAAAAGGTGTACGGTACTGTTACATCAGGGTTACTTTGTGTATAATTTAGATGGTTTTTCTGTGAATCATAATGTCATTTTCTTTCCTGTTCTCGATCCTAGGAAGTGTTATCAAGGTCTTTCGAGATTATGTCAAAATTATCGCATTATTCTGGCGGGATACACCACTACCACCACCCCCACCGCCATCACACCTTCATTGTTTCCCCTCTGTATCACCTCCACCGTCATCCAATTTCTATTGTTTTTCCCTCCCCCCTCCTCCACTGCCATCACATTTCTATTGTTTTCTCCCTCCACCACCTCCACCGCCATCACATTTCTATTGTTTTCCCCCTCCCCCACTGCCATCACATTTCTATTGTTTTCCCCTCCACCACCTCCACCGCCATCACATTTCTATTGTTTTCCCCCTCCCCCACTGCCATCACATTTCTATTGTTTTCCCTCCTCCTCCACCGCCATCACATTTCTATTGTTTTCCGCCTCCCCCACTGCCATCACATTTCTATTGTTTTCCCTCCACCACCTCCACCGCCATCACATTTCCCTCCCCCCCACTGCCCACATTTCTATGTTTTTCCCCTCAATCATTTCTATTGTTTTCCCCATCCACCACCTCCACCGCCATCACATTTCTATTGTTTTCCGCCTCCCCCACTGCCATCACATTTCTATTGTTTTCTCCCTCCACCACCTCAATCACACTTCTATTGTTTTCCCCCTCCCCCACTGCCATCACATTTCTATTGTTTTCCTCCTCCTCCACCGCCATCACATTTCTGTTGTTTTCCGCCTCCCCCACTGCCATCACATTTCTATAGTTTTCTCCCTCCACCACCTCAATCACACTTCTATTGTTTTCCCCCTCCCCCAGTGCCATCACATTTCTATTGTTTTCTCCCTCCACCACCTCCACCGCCATCACACTTCTATTGTTTTCCCCTCCCCCACTGCCATCACATTTCTATTGTTTTCTCCCTCCACCACCTCCACCGTCATCGCATTTCTATCCGTGAGATAAAGACGTCAACGGCGTGAATGTATTCGTCCGCAGAGAGACGAGATTCTTCCCAAAAAAAGGAGGTAACTGGTGCACCCTATACTACTTCACACGGATTCCTTTGAAGCTCAGGCCATGACGTTTTTTTACCTCATCCTCTATAAGATTGTAACGTTGACCATTAAAGGTATTGTAGAACTCATCAGCCAGCTCCTACAACAAAACACACATTATGTTAACTAATAAAGGTGTAGCCTTAAAAAACAGCCGACATTTCGCGACGCCATCAAAGGTTTCTTCGCGAAATTACGTCACTTTGCGGGGAAACGTTGGTAGCTTCGCGAAATATCAGCTGTTTAAGTCTGGATGAAATTCTCTGGTGTGCATCGCCAATCATTAAAATCGGTTCGGCAGGAATTTCGCATGGTAGCATTTATTTTCCTGTATTCTGCAAAATGAAATTTGGAACATTTTCTGACTGTTTGCATTTGTTCACAGTACTGCACCCATGTCTCTAGGAATCCACTCTATCCTAATATATCTGCCACTAGTTGGATATATAGCTATCTCACAACCGTCTTGAACCCCTGAGAAGTACCCAGTTAAATTGAGCAACTCCATTTTACCAAGTCTGCCCTCACCCAAACCCTCTTAGCTATAAAAACGTGTCATGAGTAGAACTTCGAGATGAAACAGAATACCTTTTTTAACATGACTGCAATGAGGAAGTAAGCTGTATGCTTAAAGCCTCGATTAAAGCCGCCTACCTGATTTCTAAACTTGACAAGAACCATGTACTGATTGGGTGTGGAGTCTCTGATGATCTTGACACATTCAATAAATTCTCTACAGTGATAGCAGCGTGTTGATAAAGAAGGGAATAATATCTTTTAACTCACAACTAACTGAACCAGGGATGAGTTTTTCAAAGCCCAAACTGCTTGAAATTGGTGATAATTTCAAAGAAAACGGGTAAGTGGTCAAGAGAACAACTCTAAAGTTCCGTCAGTTGTCCTTTGAAAAACTAGCCAGGTTACTAGAGACTTTTCATGCGCATTTTCCGGTTTCAGTTAAGTCCAGGCTGGGTCAAGACTTTATTGTGACCCATGCCTTGCCACTCTAGACCTTCAGCCAAAGATCTGTCATCCTGCAACCGACAACAAAGCATCTTGCTGCATGCAAGAAAAAACCTCCGGTACCCAACTTGGCTCTCGTTAATTTTGCTCATAAAAGAAATGGTGAATTAGACCTACCCTGTTGGTACTGAATTTTGCGATTTTGGCGAAAGAGTATTTCAGGGGGTTTTATGTTCAAAATTTAAGCATTCTCAACTTCATTTATTTTTTAAAAAAGTCTGAAAGCTTTCAAATTTCTAGTTAAACTGAAAAAGCAATCACGTGTGAAAGCTTAGCAAATTAACCTTATTTCACTTAATGAAGATACAAAACGGAGCTTACTAGTATAACCAGTGAACAAGTCATATTGTGGATACATATCCTGTATATGATGTTGGTATTTCAAGATAATATTTTTTTATGTGATTTGATTTTTCCATGAGTATTTAATTTCACATGCTTAAATTTTGGATGATTTATTTTATTTTTCTTTATTTTCGTACTTTTGTTTTTGCATTTGCGAAAAACATGAAAGGTAAAAATTATGCTTAGGTTGCATTTGACTTGGAGGTGGAAACTCTTAAAGAAAAATTTCCTGATTGAAAAGCTGGGTGCAAGTTAACCACATGGGCCAATTCAACACACAGTTGAGTTGATGCAAGTTTTCATCACCTTGCATCTCCCACTTTCCAGTTCCTGGTGACTTACATCAAAAAATAACACAAACTTACTCAGAAGGAGCCACAAACCGCATAAGATCAATACAAGTCATCTTAGCTGGTACAGCTAACATGCAAATCATCTCACTCCGCTGAACACCTTTAGCTAAGGACGTCATCTCACTGAAGGTGAAGAATTTAAAAGAACAATTAAAAAAAAAAGAAAAAAGTTTCAACTGGAATAAGGATGCATACATATGCAGCTTTTATCGTGCAAGAGCAGCAAATTATCTGGAGAAGTCCCAAAAGGAAGGTTACTCCAGATTCAAAGTAGCAGGAGTACTAAAGGAAATTTTAAATTTGGGGGTTTAAATGAACAATTTGGGATTTTGGGAGGCAAAATGAATTCAAAGTTTCCTGGTAAATTGGTATAATGTCTGCACTCACTAATGGCAGTTTTAACGTTGTGATAGAAAATAGGATAAGAGGGCGCTTATTCTTGATTCAGTGGATCTTTTGGAGTCTCACGTTTCACCCTAGGGATATTTTTTTGCCTTTTGAATTTTCAAAGCGAATTGATCGATCCTGGTCATTAATTTAATGCTTTTCTGCAAAACTATCGTAAGTGGTCCAAAAATAAAAATTGCTCAAAAATTGCTACATTTCAGTATTTGAACGTATTTTGTTTTTACTCTGTTTTCGAAAAAAAATGTAAGCAAAAATAAGAGACCTTTTGTTTGTGTAAACATTGAAATCAGTAATCCTCAGCAGTTAAGTGGTTCCGAGAGAGTGACAATAATGATTCTCATACTCTTGAGTGAAGTGTAGTTGCATCTCGACTTACTTGTTTTTATAGATGTGAATAATGCCCTTGATTATTTCAACCATTGGATTTCCACAGAAGAATGCTATCTTGCCTTGAAAATCACTGGTTGTATTCGCCCTCTCATCTTTATCAAGTGCATCTTTAACACCTTCCTCCATAGAATTGTCTTGAGAAGATTATACAAAAAAAGAAAGTTTTTATCAAGATAAATGTATCTACACTGTATGTTGTATGATTCATTGCGAAAATTTTAATGTTTTAATCTATTAAAGGTAAAGGAAATTATTCTAATATATAGTACAAGCGTGCAAGAAAGTATACTTTCTCCGATATTGTCAAAGCATGGGGCACAATCAAAAAATTTTTGCCAGGATAGAACATTTTATTATCTAAAAAAGGCTGGACAAACTTTTGTTCTGGTTTATCCATTTTTAAAAAATCTAGGTATATTTGTTATTTTTTCAAAGGAAATAAGAGTTTAAAACTCAGCTGTGATTTATCAGATTTAAAGTCATTAGCAATAAATCAGGGTTGAGTTTTAGACTATAATTTATTATTATTTCCTTTAAGAGGCACAATGTGCTGTCAGCTGTACCAAGAGTTATTCTCATTCTCACCAATACTACTTCTAACCATCGTTTCAAGTTGAATATCATGCAGATATCTTTCTCCCCTGTGAACTTTCATCTTTTCTTCACAGGACGCTGAATCCTTTTCCTCTCGTTCTCCATTCTCTCCTTTACCTTTTACTGAATCTGATTCAGACATTTCTTGAATTGTGCTTTTAAACCCTTGGGCTAACATACCAATGATTAGGAAACAAAAAATATCATAAGTTCACTTTCATATACATATGTTTTAATGTAAGCTTTTTATCTATAACTTCATCTGACGTTTAGAGCTACCTCAGCATTTGAAACAAAATCTGGCAATAACCCTTGCCCTACCTCTGTTGTTGGTCTGATAAAATTGTTAAACAGTCTACTTAGCATATAATATTCACAACATATAAAAAGGACTAGTTAGGTCACTACCCTATGCCTATTAGCAAATATCTGGATCAATAATTACCCCTCCCCTAAGCCAAAATTTTGCCCTAAATGAGAAGTAAGTGTTAATGTTCATACAAAATAATGTGGGTCAGGAATTTTTGGGAGTATAGTCTAAGACGTTTTTGAGATAGGGATTAAGGATAGAGTACATGTAGCTAGCTGTACCCGCCCCCACTGAGAGAGGGTACAGGTTGGGGAAATGGTCACATGTAGCTGTGTTGGGGGGGAGGGGGAGGGGAAGGGGATGCAGGAAACTCACGAACAAAAATGAGATCGAAAACGGGGCACCTCCTGTGGCTTATTCCCAGTCACTCACGATGACTTTTTGGAGATATTTGAGTTAATTATTAAGGAAAGCAGGGAGCACTCTGCGCTCGTTTCCATCATACCCCTCTTGTACTTTTCACTTGTCTCCAGCATCATTCACATTTCTTGCTTGCTCCCCACTAAGCCTTGGAAAAGACTGTGGAGGGGGCAGGAAACTCTTTATACTTTTCAGGTAGACTACAGATATGATGATCAATACATGGTCAGAAAGCTCCCCATTCCCCCATTTTAGTCAAGATACGTGCAGACACTGATGCTATGTCAATACATCAACTATATATGGTTTTTAATATCAAAATATTAATTTTATGGTCATGTAATGCCAGAGTCATGTCGTAAAGCCAATGAAAATTAACCTCATCTTGCATGTAATAACATAACTCAAAAAATGGAAATGAAGTCGGGGATCTCCGTGGTCCGAGTGCCGATTAGAAATGAATGTAAATAAACAGAAACAGGAAACGGGTATTAAAACTAATAAGTAATGGTTGAGTGGAGTTCAATTCGTCTGTAAGAAATGAATGGACGACCGGCGTGGCGGAGATTTAATCACAAGTATGATTAAACAAACAGAAACATTAAATAACTGTAACAAAATTTGTGATATGTAAGCCCTTTTTTTTTTTAAATCATAGCAGCAGAAATTCCAATTTTTTTTTTATGCTAGTAATGAAAAAAAGCCATTTAAGCGTGCGCTTGATGGCGCGTACTGTCCAATTACTTAGGCATGACGCGTACTGTCCTATTAAATTGTCCAGTTAAGGCTGAAATCAGGGCAGTTGATAGCCAATCAGATTTGAGAATTTTGTTATAGTTATGATTAAAATACTAACCACAATAGTCCAATGCCTGCGGTAAAGGCAAGTCGTCGGCAACTTCAAATCTGAATACTACCAGGGAAATGGACATTGAACCTGTATTTCTGGGCTGCACATAGGTAATTTCACCGAAAAAATGAAACGAAATGTTCCTCGGATTTTATTTTTAAGTGAAGTCAGTCATCGGAGCCGAGCCCTCAGTGACATAATCAGTGGAAATTTTCAACGTAATATAGGACCTCATGAGAGACAACCATCAAAATATGATGTCACGCAACAACGTAGTTTCTGTCAAGGCAGCGATCTATTGACAACGTACCTGCAAGCTTCAAAAATTTTTGCCAAAAGGCATGATATTATTTATGGCGTTGTTGCTTTAGCTGTCTTAAAAAAAATCAATCAACGCAACAAAGATAAGTTGATTCGCCCAATTATCGATCTGTTTACATGAGCCTGTTTTTGCGGGAAAATTTAAAGTGTCTTTCGCGCGACTTCACTTCACGTACAGTGCATACCGTCGTTGAAGCATCTTTTTGACGATTCATCTCGCACGACCGCTAGACCTACTAACAGAAGAAATGGGACTGTCAAAAATTGTGATTTCTTTAATTTTGATTTGTGCGGCCTTTAACGTTGCAACTCTTTTTCCGAAATTACAAATCCTTCTGAACAATGTACTCATTATCCTTCGCTCTTGGCTGCCTTCAGTTATTGATCTGGTTGAAGAAATCGCCGTGGGCCTACACAAGTACTGCGCCGAACGGTTGCTTGAAGATATCAAGAAAGGCTTCACTATTCTCACTGGCTTGTTTAGTAGTGTATTTACTTTGATACAACCTGCAGTCGGAAATGTGTTTAAAGTTATCACAGATGCCCTGATTGCATTCCACAATAACGGCATGGGATACACTGATGAAATTCTACAACAGCTGCTTGGTATAGATGGTAAGGACTGTACAGATCCAATACTGAATCTGATGTGACTCCCCTATCAAAATCTTGCATAGTAACTAGGTAATCACTCATTAATCTGAAAATCTGAAAGAATTGGTAGCACCAAACATGTTGGTGCTGTGTTTAATAGGTTAACAAAATGCTGCCAGTTCTTTGAGCCAATCAAAAAAGGATATGTAAGATAAGAGGATATGTAAAGGATAATAAGGCAAGAATACAGCCTGTATATTGCTATAGAGAGCAAAGGTGATTTGTGAAATGTTCTTGTAATTTTTTACTTGCAGTTGAATACTTTCGCGTATCATCATTTTTAGACAAATGTGATAAAATGAGTCCCTGTTATTGAGATCCTAAGTTACTCACTTCTCTTCCAAAGGTATTGATTTTGACCATTGTGAATTCAGGGGTACTTTCCATTATAACCAAATTTCTGGAAAATTTTGTGCAATAGCATATTAATGAAATGAACTTGGTACAGGTGGAAAAATTCTGGGATAAGTGGTCCACTTCCTGAAGGTTTCTCTCTGTCAGTCTTGCCTGATAAAAATTGGCTGTTTTGTTGTCAAAAATTCTCATGGCCAGTCCCACTTCACTAAGAAGTATTCAAAATGTTAGTCAAAATTTTAATAGAATGATTCAGCTCAGTAAGAAATAATTTTCTCGATCGAACAATGTCATTCTATTTTTCTACGATAGAAGTTCCTGTGGTCTCTGACTGGTCAGTCTGATATAATGAGAAGAACCTTGGATAGCTTTGTCTTTTTCAGGAAAATATGAAACCCTATATGAATATCTCACTTTCCATCTAGTGGACTAACTCCTGTTCCAGATCATCAACTTGCAGGATATCACAAAAATTTGTCTCCTTTGTTTTTGCAGGAGCAGCCCTGCCAGATCATGTTGGATCAGCAAGGAATAAACTTTTGTCATTAATCCTATTTCTTGTTTGGATCATCACAGGCCTTGTTTGTATTTCCAGAATGTCCTACAACAAGTTCTTTCTTCTGATGTCCAGCACTTTCCTGGTACATGCATTTTTTGGTCCTGTCTGGTGCCTGCGCAGACTGGCATTTTGCATTGGAGTTTGTATGTGGATGGGTTCCCTTGTATCCAACAAACCCATACCTGCTGCTCTTACCGTCCTGGTTGCTTTCACTTTAACAGGCCTCAGGAAGTGGAGAAAAAAGGTTGCCATGACAACAAAGACCAGTGATCTTTTGAAGTTAAATGAAAGCTTAGAGCAGAGACTAGATGGAATAGAAAAGAAACTTGATGTTTTGGTGTCAAAGCTGAATGTCATTTGTGGCAGTTCCAGTTAATCTTCCACCCACTCCTCCCACAGTCAAACTAAACAGAGTGTGATCTGGGTTCTAGATTGGAAATGCAGCTATTTTTTTTTGAGACATGAAAGACAATAAATTTGATATATTTTCCAAGACATGAACTGTAGTGAAAAAAGGACCACAATATGGACAGACCACATGGAAAATTAGTTGTCAAATCTATTTTGGAATGGTTATGAAACCCATCACCTTTGTTTCCTTTTTTTTATCTGTCATCATCATTTTCTGCATTAATTTATTGTAACAAAAAGAAAACCACAATGCTTGGACATAAACCACTGTTGGAAATGTTTGCTTTTATAAAAGTTGCTCTAATAACTATGGTCAAATGTACTTGTAATTACTGTCAATTGTATTTAAGAATGGTTATTGCATTACATCATTAGTATTATTAGTATCATTATTCATAACATTTTTCTTGAAAGATTGCCCCCTCCTTGTTACCCATGATTGTTTATGCTAAAATTCAAAATAGTTTACTACAATGTTCTCTTGTAGCTGGAATGTGTAAAATATTTCAAGTAAGTCCTTCAGACATGGGGTAGCAGGGAAGCGACAATATTACATGGTCGGATTAACACCTAAAATTGCCCCTAAATGAAAAAAGGTTAGGTATAGAATTTTGTGAGAAATTTTTCCACAGTTATTTATGTCATTTTTTTTTCTAATGAATAATGAAATAATAATAATAATACTTTAATTATCCTCTCCCCTTTTGTGGCTTTTCAGGGATTATGAAACAAATAATTTAAAATGCAGCAACATAACATGGTTAAATATCTCAACTGGTAGGAGGCGAACCAGTTGGCTATTTTACAAGGGTGGACGAGGATTTGAAATCGGGACTACCAAGAACAAATTCCTCCCCACCGGGGACTGTTGGGTTTGTCGGTCTCTTTACCCTGACCTTACCCTGGCTACCCCGCTGAACACAATTTTTTTCCCATTCCCCCGCGCGCTCCGAGCCGGCGGCACTCCAAGCCCTTGATGTTCCAAAAGGAAGTGGATATCAAATCTGTTTCACTTTTAATTTATTTGACTGTATGACCGTTACCAGCCACAAGTCTCTATGTTTCTACGTGGATTTGTTAAAGTCCCTGTAGGTGTCGTCGCTTTTGTAGCCGCTTCATCCCTTGTCAAGAATCAACTCGGTGAGTTTAAAAACTGTTTTTTTTTTTGCTGTTGGCGCGCGGACGGTACTAAGGTCTTATTTTCGATCTGTTTTAGTGTTATTGTTAAGCTTAAAATAAACTTTTCGGTTTGTAGCATAATATCCGACAGTATTGCTTCTCAAATTGCAGCTTTTCAGTCTCATTTGCTGTAGTGCTTCGAACGTTCTCAATGACCGTCATGTTGTAACCAAGCTTATTAGGTTCCATTTCCTCTCACTGATTATTACAAATACTCCTATTTTCCAAGAAAAAATAAGACGGGGAACATTTTGCCAAATGAGACAGTTAATGCCTCCTCTTTTATGACATTTACAAACTGCCTTTAATTTAACAAATTATTTGACTATTGACCACTGGCCAATTTGCAAGAATCATCAGTTGTCGTTTGATAGAGGCAAATTAGTGGCAAATGGATAGATATCCTGTTTTACGGAAGGCATTTTAATTTGATGTGCCGTGGCCTTTAGATGAACGGCTCAAGCATTAATGAAGTTTCTAAAGTACTGTGTCGTAAAATGTCTTACAAGATGTAGTAAATCAAACAGTTTTGCTGATAGCCTCTTGAATTACTTTTATAACTACAGCTTGGAGGTAACGAACTTTGTAAAACTACCTTATTGTTTTAGGTAATTATTTCAAGTTCTTAGAGTATTTTCTATGACATAGACAGCTGCAATGCATCATTCATCATATCCAGTCACTACGACAGGCGTCATCTCTTGACTCATGACACCTGCTTTAAGCACAGTCAGACCACCCTCTGTTTGTGTGGCTGTGGTTGTTGCTGAAATCTGAGCATCGGTATTTTAAACTCAATAGAAGAAAGACAGGTGAAAGACAGGTGCAGTTTACTCCAAAATACAGATTTGAACCAAAATGTTCAAGCAAAGTTCCAGAGAAATGATAACTTAGTCATATTTCCTTTTTTTTTTCGCCATCCCAAGCTGTAATTTAAACCATTATTTTTCTGAGACGATTATTTGACGATGCTCTAGAACTAAGGAAGGAGACAAGGCTGGCAGCAATCAGCTACCACCAGGTCTCCTTCTTAGGTTCTAAACCGCTTATCGATGATTTGCATAAAAAAAAAAACAACAACAATTTAATGGAAAATATGTGCTCTGAAAGCGACGTCCTTAGGTACATATAGAGAGGCACATGTATGTCAACTCCAGGCATTGTGAGTGTGTCTGTGATCATCAACAAAAGTTTTCACTCCCCAACAGAACCTTGTGTAATAATTCATTTCGTTGTGAACCAATTTTTTGTTGCTGATGTCCTAATCCTCAGCTTGAGTAATGAAAATTGTTCAAATAATAATTTAATAATAATAATAATACATTTATTTATTTTAATAAACAACTTTATTTAAAATCTTGTAAAAACCTATACACAAAAGAAAAAAAACTGCAGTAGAGTAATTCTAGTTCCTCGCCATATACATACATGAAATTCTTAAACTAAAAGCATAGGAGCTAGTTGAAAAAAAAATATATAAATTCATTGTAAAACATGTGCATGACAAAACGATCCATCATGCCTATCAGCCTCTAAAACTATGTATATACTCTGAAACGCTGATAAAAGCTGACAACCTCTAGCATATAACAAACTGTACGCTTAGAGAAAATGACAATAAGACACCACAATGGCCGTACAAGAATTGGTTTACTGGGCAAATGCCAAACGAAATAAAGGGGTCTTTAGAGCCTGCTTGAAACCCTGAACACTTTGGATACTCCTGATAACTGAAGAAGGAGTGTTCGACAGTGAGGGCTCCAGGCGCGGATCTAGGATAAATACTGACCGATTTCCTAAACGAAGGGCCTAGGGAGCAAGCTTCTAGGGGAGCCCGGGGGCATGCGCCCCGGGGAATGTTTTGGGATTTTAAGTCCCTAAAGTTCCCCTTCCCGGGTTTCTGTCTAATGCCCAGAAACTGGAAAAAGAAAACATTTGTCCAGACCATTTTCCAGATTTCAACTTTGAAAGTTCTATTATTATTATTATTTAAAATATGTTTATTATGAAAAATCTGACCGATTTCCGTAAAACGGTGGAAACCAGAGTGGATCCACCCCTGGGCTCAACACAAAGTGGAGGCTCTGTTCCAAGATAATAATATTCTTTGTCCCTTTGAACATGAAATGACATTGTTTTATAGTCACAATATATTTATTGCAGCTTAGTTTGCTAATCAAGTTTAACATCTGTGTGGGCTTAATGGCAAAACTGGTATTCATACGAAACAAATTATTAAATTATAACTATTTATTTTTTAAATAATTGTTATTTCTTTTTTTGTTTCTTTTAGTAATGGTGCAATAATAACTGCATGCAAGTCCCTTACAAAAATGCAGGACTTTTGTTATTCTTTTGTCAGGAAGTATTGCCAAGTGTCATATTGGAATGCATACCAAAGCCTGTTCACCGGAATATCCTTGCACAAATGTAAAAAGATTCCCAGTTCCTGCTGAACTTGTGGACTGGAAGGTTTCATTTCCAGATTACAAACCTGTGGATTACACAGCACAAAAAGTGCTTGAACAACCTCCCTGGGCTGATCCTGACATCAGGTGAGAATGTTCCTCTTAAGACTAGTGTGGCCATAGGACAACATGGTCCCAAGAGTGACCAGTATCAATTTTCTCCCAACAATATTACTACATAATCAAGAGAAAAGGTCATGAGAAATGATAAAATGATCACTAAAGGTGAAATGTCTTGGGCTTTTATCAAAATTAATTCTCTCAACTTTTTCTTCAAGGAATGTATGGAGATCACTGTGTAGAAATTAAAAGTGCATGCAGATATTGGAACTTAAAGGGTTAATATAGATTCCATCAGGGCCAGATCAAGGATTATGATTGCAGAGGGTCACCTCAAAGAATAGAGAGTAAAATGGGGTCCTGGGTTAAATGGGGGGTTTGGCCACCCAACGGGGTACCTCTGCCATACGATCTGATGAAGGAACCCTCCATATCCACATTGAGTTCCACTGTAATGGTTTTATATTTGGCTTCATATAACTATATGGCTGGCTGCCAGTCAAGGTTTTCAAAATATTAAAATTAACAGTTATAGCCTTATGAGCAATATGAATTTAAACATCTATATTCTTTGTCTCTTATCCTAATCGCTAAACCTAGATCACTTTATCTACCCATGGAAATATACATCCAGAGATGAAACAAATGCAGATCGAACCATTGATCATTCAGTGATTTGAAAACCTTGACTAGCTGCTGGCCCACTGTTAGTTACACATTTGATTCTAAGCCATGCAATCTTTTACTTTTTCAATAGTTTTGTTCAGAAATAAATCTAAAAAGTGGTTGTCATTTCTCTGATAGGTCTGGACCAGTGAAAGAGGCCCTCAAATTTAATGGCCTTGATACTTACTACAAAACAGATAGAAGAAGTTTAACAGGAGAGTATGAAATCATACAAGGAGTCCCAAGGTAGGGTCATGTGCCCTTTTCATTTCTACAGGGTTCGCAGGGTTTAGCTGGTCCTTAAAAATCTAGTGTGGTCCTTGAAAAGTCCTTGAAAAATGGTTGCAATTTTTTGTATGAACCCTTTTCGAGGTAGCTTTAAAAAAGACAATACAAGGTCAAATGAGAGTACAAAAGTGCATGGAAATGACTGAACGCTACTACTTTTGCTCAACTGGCAACTATATGACGTGGGTCAAGTCAGTTTTTAGATCTGTGCGCCTGTTTTTACAGCTGATTTTTCAGCCTTTTCCAGTTTGACAGTTTCAGTCCAGTTATTGTTCCTGATCGTACTCACAAGGTCTTAGCCATTATTCTACTGATTTGGGTAGATTCTCCACCATGAAATGAAACAACTGTCAATTGGTACAAGTTTCAAGTTTTGGTCATTATGTTAAGACAGAACCCATCAGGAAATTGAGTAATTTTAAGTTTCAGTGGACAAAGAATAATTTATACAATTTCACATACTTTTTTACATTTTTCAAGGGTTATAGATGTAATTAGTTATCTGTAATAACACCAAAGAAAATTTCTTATGGGAGCCCAAGAAAACTAATATCAAATTTCACAAGAATTGTGAAAACACAGGTAACGTTTTTTTCGCTGCTTACCGACTAACTAGTGTTTTTTTTGCTGTTTACTGACTACAGCTATACCCCATTGACACCCTTTCCTTAAGGCCAAAATTCTCAAAGGAAAGTGTGAAGCCAAAATAGAATATACAGAAGGGTGATTGGGACTTTCAGGAGTATTGATAATTTCTGAAACAATGCATTGGATTTTACTTATAAAAAGTGTTTGTTTTAAAGGAATCCTGCTGGTAGGACTGGTATGATTGGTAGAGGATTGCTTGGAAAATGGGGTCCCAACCATGCTGCTGATCCATTGGTTACAAGGTATATAATATATTCAATTATTCTCCAGGCAAAAAGACTTTTTTCCCGGGGGGGGGGGATGTGGTCACTGTCCAGGGGTGGATTGGAGCTCACTTCGGGTAAATAGAATGGTAAATGCTCAAAAAAGTTGTTGGGGCACTTATAATGTAGGTTTCTGACTCCATAGGGGACACTTATTAAAGGGGTGGGGCATATTTGCAGGGGGCCATTATTTTATTATCAAATGTACCTAGACCTCAAGTCAAGACATCCTGTGTCACTTGTAAACCCAAATTTTGCTTTCTGCGCATGCCCGAACTTCACAAGCTATTTATTTTGCATCTGGATCAGAAGGCCGCAGAGTGTACGACCTGCAAATGGCTTTATGGTAGGTTTTAGCTCTTTATAGCAAGACAGTGACCAGAAAACCGCTCAACTAGCTTCAAAATGCGTTTTTCAGCAAAATTTCCAGGGACAAATGGGTTAATATTTTTAGACTCAAGGGGATGCGGGTAGGGGGTGGTAATTAATGAAAGACAGTACTAATTTTTACATAATTTTATGGTATGTACAAAATATTCTTATATGTGGGGACCCATCTGTTGTTGATGGGTTTAACCATATCTTTAAGATGTAAGATTAAGATGTGTTCTCTTTCAGATGGAAAAGGGACAGCTCTGGAGAAAAAATTCACAAACATGGAAAACCAGTTTTAGAATTTGTTGCAATTCAGAGAACAGATTGCTCAGAATGGGCTCTTCCAGGGGTAAGTGAACAATCAGAACATACATGCAAGGGATAATGATGGCTAGCAAGGCTATCCTGTACTGACTGGTGTACTGTTTTAGCAAAGACAATAAAAATCCTCATTTTCGAGAACACTTTTATTTGTTTTTATTGTCTCTGCTTAAAAAAAGTAAACCTCTGAGAAAACTACAATATAATAGGAGAGACAAATTTTAGATAACTTATGCATTTTTAAGAGATGAGCTTTTCTTTAGTGCTCCAGTGTTCTTGACTTGTATTAAAACAAGCAATAGAACTGGTGGGCATAGGCACCCCATTCTCACACGGTCATTTCCAGCATCAATGCTAACAGTTGTCTTAGGGATCTTTCCAAAAGTCTGCACTGGCCAGCCTGCCCAGTCATCTTGAAAATGAAATTTTAATCCTTTCTCAACATTTTCGCTATTACTGCCGTGCAGGGGATTTAGTAATAGGCTGATCTGACCTTAAAGTCCTGATTAATGGTAGAATTCCCTTTACAACTGAACTGGCTAACCGACCAATTCTAACAAATGATATGCACCCTCAGACTGAAGGATCACAAGACAATGGGGAGGAAAAGCTCGTTCGTGAAGTTCCCATTCTGTTTTTGTTTTATCTCCAGCGTTTTTCAGTCTTCTTAGCAGGCTACTCCACTGTTTTCAAAATTGTAAGTTAAAATAAATTGCATCCATGGTTTGGAAGAGCTCCCAAGATGGCCTGGTCAGACCGTTTCCGGTTTTTCCTCCGTTTTCAGGTTTCTCCGCACAAGATTTACCCTGGGTTCCAGAGGCTTTTCATGCGCGGTTTCCGGTTTCGGGCCGCTCGTGTCTTCGGCCTTGGGCCGAAGACGTGTCGGCCTTTGGCCGACGAAGCTCCTCGTCGCACGCGAGAAAAAACCTCTGGTACCCAGGGTACACAAGATTTGGGTGCCGGTTAAAACCTAACGTTCCGTAAAAGCGATGGTCATGCGATTCTTTCAGTGCTGTATACCTCTACTTTCTGTTCCTGATAAGTGTGGTATTTTGTGCTAGGGAATGGTTGATCCTGGCGAGCCCGTTACATACACGCTGAAGAGGGAATTTGGCGAGGAGGCATTAAATTCTCTAGAGCTTACACCAGAGGAGAATAAACGGCTTCATGATTTATTGGATGATCTCTTCCATCATGGAACAGTGGTAACAACACGTTTTGTCTAATTTAGAAAGTTTATGAAAATTACATGTTAATTATTACAGGCATTAAGGTTGGAAGAGCTCCCGTAGCGAAGAGAGCAGCTTTAACAGGGTTGCCATGGACGGTAGAAGAGATAGGGAAAAGTCGAAGGGGAAGATGGGGTTTGCAAAAGGTCAGGGATAATCAAAGTGAGAAGTAAATGAAAAGTCAAGGAATTTTATTTTTAGAGGTAATTACGACATTCCACAGTGCAGGTACAGTCACGTTTGTCCAGAAAAACAACAAAAAAATAATCTGCATAGATGAGCTTTATCAGAACCAGGTGGCGTCTGGCGCCCAACGTTTGCCCTCGGGCGAGTAGAAAATCTTAGTTTTGTCATACAATGTTGGCTCCTAGATTTTACAGGTTTAGGACTCTGGGTTCCTTTCAATTTTCCTCAGAGCACAGCCTTGCTATACATCGTTGTGTCTGATACTTCAAGGAGTTCAAGTCCTGAAATCTAAAAGCTCAAGAAAATGTGAAATACAAAGACAATATAAATTACGTGCATGTTAGGAAAAATTAGTGAATTCTTTTTTGTTACAGTGAGTCGCATACCTGTTCAAGATAAACATCTTAAACTAGGCCGAAATATGTGAGAAATGTCAAGAGATGTTAAACCATTTCATTAGAGGTTGATATTCAGGGTTTTCTTGGGTTTGTTTCCTTGTTTTTAAGATTTTTAAAGGCTACATAGATGATCCTAGGAACACAGATAATTCCTGGATGGAAAGCCAAGCAGTTAATTACCATGACGACACAGGAAAAGCCTTTGACAAGTTTGCGCTCAAAGCTGGTGATGACGCCAAAAATGTCAGATGGATGGATGTCTCACATGAACTACGGTTGTATGCAAACCACAATGATTTGGTCAAGGAAGTTGCTAAAAAACTCAATGCTTATTGGTAGTGAATAACTAGCTTGGGAGGGGAAAAAATTACATAGACTCTTTTTTTTTTTTTTTTTTCAAGACACACCTGTCTGTGATAGGAACACTGACAACTTAACACGCAAAACCTTTGCTGCATATTTGTATTTGAATCGAGGGTTACCAGCCTGGCGTTCACTAAAATGGCGGTTAGTATGCTGCTATGCACCAGTAGAATATTGCATGCGGGACTATATTTATTGGCATCTAATATAATATGTGGATAGCCTTGAAAGAGAAACGTTTGTCGAAAACTCTTCGTATACAGTGGTTGACCGTGGTTCCCTAATACAACAAAGACTTCGGGCAGTAAAACGAAAGATTTTCTTCGAGCAGGGTTTCCTTGTAATTTAGTCCAGTGAAAAGCCACCAGGGCCTGGTTCCTCGAAAGGAGGTTAAGTTAACCCAGGGTTAAACTAATAAGCCGAATATTATAATGTGTAAGCAAAACCGATGAAAATTAAATGATCGCCGGCAACATTGCCGTCAGCATAGAATTTGAAATTTTTGCAAATACACCTTCCATTAAATCTCGATTGGATGTAGATGTTGCAACTGTACATAGTTTTTAGGGCCTTTAATTTGGCTGGGAACAATACTTCTAGATAAGGGGCCGTCCGTTTGACTTTGGACGGGGGGTATGGCTGACTCAGAAAAAAATATATCCTGCAGACTGATTTCGAGGGGAAAAAAATCTTGCAAGGAAATATCTCAGTGGCGAAAAAAATATCTTTCATGTCGTATAATGCTGGGAAAAAAACTTACACCGCTGTATGTCAGGAAAAAGAATTCTTTCACCAGAGGGTTGAGAAAAAAAAACTCGTACACAAACCAAATCACCCACACCCCCCTTCAAAGGACAAATAGTCGGCCCCTAAATTAACTATGCTTCGACCGGCCGGAAGGTTGTGTAATCTGTATATACCATTAGAGTGATATTGTATTTAGTGTTAATATTGAGTTTCATTATCCTTCCTTTTTTCTGTATTAGGAGTATACTTTTTGCAGATGTGTGACTTAAAGGGATGTTTTGTACTCTGATACGTTTATTGTGAGTGCATTAAGATGTCAAGAGCTGAGTCAAAAAGATTCTCCCATAGATTGATCTTGTTTCCGTATAGCCTGCGAACCGCAGACGCATTTGTTTCCGAAAAATAGCAGAAACAGTAAACGATTACTGTTTCGTTGAGCATTTTTCACAGAAACAGTAAAATTACTGTTTCGTTGAGCATTTCCTAAAAAACCTCTCGGACCAGGACCCCCCCATTTCACTCCTTTAACTGCTTGCCCTCTTTTTTAAACTCATGATCAGTTTTCCACATACGTTTCCCATCTTTATTTCTGACGTTTTGTCTCAAATTTTAAACTTTCCATTGTTTGTCGACTTATTACTTAACGCCAAATCAAACTGCCAGTTAAACTGGTTCATAAACGAGGTCACTTGCCGAGTCCCAGGTCTCCTCGTCCTCCTTCATTTCCCTGCCTAATTCGGTATAATTTTGTGGTCCCATCTCAATTAATCTCATCTTTTTCTTCTGTTTTCCTCTCAAGTATTTAAGATACGTATTTTCGCTCATTGTCATCTTTTCGCATAGACGTCGTAATTCTTCCGGTAAATCATGATTAAGGTTATACCCTTTTACATACTTTCCGGCATAAAGGAACTGCAAGCCTGTTTCGTTCGTCACACAGGATTGCTTGATTTTCGTTGCCCTCTGTCGGAAGGTGGCAAGCTCTTCTTCAAATGTGTCACCTTCGTTTTCGATTCTTTTCCAGAATGACTTGTTAAAGTGATCAAATAACAACACATCCGCTTTGTTCCACCGTTTTATATTTTCCCGAATGTCGCTGTTTAGTGCTACATATTTTTCCTCTTCTTGGCGATCGTTTAACTTCAAGTACAATATATCGTCCATATTCCAGCAGAGAAGCCGTTTCATCAATACTAAAGATTCATCAAAATAGTCCATAATCATTACCAAATCAAACTCCTTGTCCAGGAACTGAATATACTCGTTTACAGCGGTGAGGTTTTGATAGAACTTAAAGCTCAAACCCAAGTCGTGAAGTAGAGGGTTTCTGATTAAAAGCCATTCGTAATTAATTTTACGCATCATCGTGAAGGGAATACCACTGCGTTCAAGGAAGAGCTGTAGTGAATCTGGATTGTTGCCTAAACCAATGCGCTTTCCAAGCTCCATGTAGTTGAAAACAGACTCGAAGTTGTCGACAGGATTCCGTAAAATTGTGATATACTTGCTAGATTCCTTGGGGAAAAGACGATTCATGGGCCTCTTGTTAAATCTTGCGTGGCTACATAAAATATTCGGAGTTTCGCTGATGAGGTGATGGACGAAGAAGAAATGAAATCTATGTGGCCATCCCAACATTGTAAACGATGGGAGAACAAAACTGAGATTTCTAAAATCGCCGTAACGAAACATGATGTTTGCTATGGTGCTTGATCCAGTTTTGTGAGTCTTGAGAAAAAGGATGTGATTTTCTGGAGAGCATTTAAATAGAGCTGAGCGGGCTGAAGTGCGGTCGTTCAATACTGAGTTTGCATTGGCAGTGATGATCTCGGACCTGTCAAGGACGGAGTAATACAAAAATTAAAATTCTTATTGAGATTCAAAGAAACTATTTCATAGATAAAGAAATATGAAATGGCTTCCGCGTCGGTTTCTTCCGCTAGGTATTCCCTCTGCAATCTTCAAAGGAAATTTCACACGCACTCTAATTAAAGCAATTAATCGGAAAATAAGTAGATTTCTGACAAAAAAAAAAAACCAAACTCTCTTTTCGAAGCGCTCTCAATGATCTAGTAAGTAACGTGGTGAATTAGACCAGTAATGCACCTGATAACACGATCAATGTGGGTAATTTGAGCTGGTGTTGTCGTTTCGTCATGGCTGTGTCGATTTAGCTGCTTTTCGTGCACAACGTAAAACAAAACGAATGTTACAGTAAACAAAACTACTAAAGCTTTCTGGAAAAGGGACCGTAGAGATGACGACATTATTCAAATTAAATTCAGCTTAATTTCCTTGACTAAAAAGCATCAAATTAAAAAATAGTAATAATTTTTCTTTTATTTACTTTTATAGACGCTTTGTTATAAACAATTATAATGGTATTGTTCCGAAAGCAAACATAATTAATACTTCTCAGCATCAACTGGACTGCCTCAAAACACCCGGAACTTGTAAGCTTCTAACAGAGTGTTCACAGACATAGCGTTCAAAACTAATATAACTGTTATATTTTCCCTGTTTTTGTTTTCTGAATTTTAGGTTTACCTTTGGTCCAGAACTGACCTTTATTTAACCCACGTTTACATTTACAACGCATTTTCCCAGCACAAACGAGGTTCCCTTGGTAACTATGACATTGCCTAATTCCACACCGGGAGGAGTGGGGATGAAAAACACTAATACAGTTGAACCTCTCTAGAGGGTGCTAATGGGGGTACAAATTCTCAGTTAACAACTAATTTTTTGGTCAAATATCAGTGAACTCCTATTTTTTTTTTTGCCAATTATCAGTTAACTGTTAATCTCACTGGTACCCTCTCTCTACAACGGCCACCTTAGGGACAGAAGAAAGTGGCCGTTGTAGAGAGGTTTTAAACAAGAGTCAATGGTTGTCTTTACACCGGGCTGTTAAGTTAGACTTAAGAGCCGCTAAGTTTTACTTGACCAAAAAATACTCAAGTAAAATCTCAAGTAACTTTACTTTGCATCTCATTAAAGTCGGAAAGTTGAAACGATTCAAGAAAGTTTCAAGTGTCTTGAAAACCAATAAAACCGACTTTGCGAACTTGCGGTTTCTAAGCTTTGAGAAAAGCATGTCAATCAATCTTAATTGTGAAAGGGACGGACCATTGTCAATCAAAAAAAAAAATTCGCGCAAGGGAAAATTAAATGAAAAAAAATTCTTGCACGCCAATTAACCCCTAAGAAATATTCATGCAAGGGCCCGAAAAAAATTCATACAAGGAATTTGATACCGAAAAAAAATTCCTGCAGCTCGAAAATTCCCCTCCCCCCCCATAACTTTTCTAATGGTCCGTCCCTAATTATAATTAATTAAGATAGGTTGTGTGTGAAGCTTTCTTGAAGAATTGAAAATTTACTTGTCTTGAAATACCGTAAAATTCCGAAAATAAGCCCAGGGGGTTATATTTTTCAAAGACCCTTTTTGAGGGGCTTATCTACGGAGAGAAATTTGCGTTTCAAAAGCGATTGGGATAGCCTTATAGTTGAAAGTAATCTCGTACCCAAATCTCCCACAGAGTGAGATCTGGTTACGAGATTAAGTTGGCAGTAAATTTACCATTTTTGCTGTGTTTTACTTTGTATTTGAAGGAGGGTTTTTTGCGTTACCGGCTTGGGGGGCTTATATTTGAAGGGGCTTATAGATGGAGGGGCTTATTTTCGGAATTTTACGGTATTTCTTAGTTTATTTAGGCTCTGGTGTAAAGACTTTCAATGTATGAATTTTTTGTCCGCTGGGACGAAAAAAAAGTGGCCGCTGTAGAAAGGTGGCTGTTAGCGGAGGGTCGGAATGTAAAGGCAAAACCGCTACAACAAACCAGTTTGGACAACTGGATCCGTTTGTGTAGACCTTGATCAGAAAAATCCCCAGTCAAGCTAAAACGATTGAGAGAAAAAATATAACAAACGATCAAATGATTTGAACCATTTGATTTTTTCATTAATACTTCATCAGGATTAGTTTAAGTACCTTTTTTCTAATTGGCTAGGTGGGAGTCAGTCCTTGTATTATCGGAAAACGATACCAGCGTAGCCACAAAAAGAAAACCCGCGAGTTTACAAAATCCCAGTTTCATTTAGAAAGCTTTTAAATAGCTGTATCTTGTTCAATATTGGCAAAATTAACACAAAAATTAACAATTTTGAAAAGCTCGTCGTGCTCTTTCAGAGTCGATGTGGGGCTTATGTTGATAATCCATTACCTCTCATTGCGTTCGACGAAGGAGAGTGTATGCCTAATTTTGAGGCGGGTTGATATGACGTTTTCTTTGTTTTGCCTAGCCTCTCCTCGCTTCTTGCCGCTAGGGACGTTTAGCGGGAGAGAAACCTTCCCGGATTTGTTGTTAGTGTTGTATTCTTTGTCTTTTATGGAAAGCCAAACATAATTTTTGAAGTCTCGGAAGCCATAGTGACACAACATGACAAAATTGCAGGGGAGAAAATTTATCTCTAACTCAAGTGTCAATGGCCGCTTTTGTACTAAAGACGCATTATCCGTCTGGACGAACTTGGCAAACATTTCGTAGTTTTTGTTATGCGTCTCTACTCAAGACCGGCATACTGAGACGCATTATGCGTCGTCCACTCGAGCTACCCTTTGGGTAGTGCGTCATCAAGACTCGACGGTGAATGCGATGAGTTTCATATCGGGAATACCAAGCGTCGATTACACGATAGGAAAACTGAACAGTTTAAAGCGCTGACGAAAGATCGTCACACTTCTGCCATTGCAGATCATATTTCTTCAACGGGCCACAATATTAAATGGGAACCGGGAAATCAGATATACATTGTAGAATAAAAGAAACTTTATTGATTCGAGATTTAAAACCTACTTTAAATGAAAATGTTGCCAGTGAAAAATGTTTTCTCTGCTCGCATCATATATTATAATTTCCTGCAGACTTCAATGTATGTCTGTCATCATCATTTTTTGTCAATAGTTATTGTTTTTACCTGTTCATTAGCTTCTAGTCTTTTTGTAGATGTTTAAATTTTACCGTAATCTTATTAACCATCACTTCTGAAGATGTATGTGGAGCTCATTCTCTCTTGATACGAAACGTGAAGTGTTTAAAATCCATACTTTTTTGCAACATGCGTTGTTTCATCATGTTTGTTACCGCAGTTTGTGTTTTATTTTTACTGAAGTACAGAAGTTGAAATGGGCGAAGAATAAGAGTGTTCAACCTGACTCAAGAATTCAAGACGTATTTCGAAGGATAGCTCGACTAGACGCACAATGAACCATAATTCATATCAGTGCGTCTTGTGCCCGTCTTCTGATGCTTGATTTCTCTTTCTTGTGAATTTATACTCGCGACACATAACCAGACCTCAGACGAACTACAAATCGGACACGAAATGTTTCAGGGGCACCCAACAACTGTTTTCTGTAAAATATCAGTTCAGAGAAGCATGCCTGTAATTTTCTATTTAGCCTGCGTAGCAGGCGCTTGGAAGTTGTAGTCCGTCTTTTCTCTTAAAATCCGTCTAGTTCTTATCTCATACAAGCGCGATTGCAAACCACGACGTTGTTATTACAACAACGGATTGAGACGAGACGCTTACGCCCTCACTTCTCGCGGCTTAATTCGCCACTCACGTGCTTAGGATTCGCGTGCAGTAACCTCGCAAAGAAAAATAAGAGACTGCTCGCAGTCTATGGGTGAAAGAGAGAACGGGCGCGCGCGAGGGAGTCTGCTTTTATTTCAAGCCCATTTGAGGCGGGGGGCTTAATAGAGACGGGGGGCTTATTTGAGAGGGGGGCTTATTTAATTTAAAAACGACAATGATATCACAGGCAGTTCTCCATAAAGAACTAGATTGCAAAGTGGAAAAGCTTAAGTACAGGAAGTTTTAGGTCATGCAGCTGAGGATCAGAATCAAATCAGATCTTCCAGTTGGTAAATAAACCATCCTGGATCAGTACACACGAAGTTTTACAGTCGTGGTTGATTGATACAGTCTATCATTTATTAGTGAAGAATAAATAGAGGGGGAGGGGGGGAGGGGGCTTATTAACTTTCTTCCCCTGAAAATGGGGGCTTATTTGAGAGGGGGGCTTAATAGAGGATTTAGCGCCTGCTACGCGGGCTATTTTCTATTACTTGAGGACGGCTAAGAATTTCTAGGGGACCGTTCCATTCATGTAAAATGTGACATACACTCCGTGATAGAATTGGAATTGGCTTGGTCAAAAGTCTCAACCAAGGTCTGTGGCTTCACATTCGAATCCCTTTCACTCCACTTAATCAGTAAAAGGATAAAGGAAATCCTAACGTCAAAATACCAACATAATGCGAAATATTTATCCCGATTTCATGATAAAAATGCTCAGTTCAGGAAATTAAAAAAATCTATACATTTTTTCAAGATTTCGGCTGTATGCATAGGCGTATGTGCGTACATGCACGCTACATTCCTGGTAGGAGTAATAGCTGAAAGGTTCCTGGGTCAAGCTTACGGGTAACATTTTGTCGATGAAAAAAAACCTCCAAAGTGTATTTTTTTTTTTTTGTCGTCTTTTGAAGGAAACGTGGATTTGCTTCAATCGTAATACAGTTTGACATCTTTTACATAGAAGGCCAGTCCTGTGTCTTAATATTTCGACCCCCCTCACATTCTGTGCCTTTTTAAAAATTGACCCCCCAAAATCAAGTCTCTTGGAAAATTCCCCCCCCCCCGCCTCCGAAACCCCCTCCTACCCGGGCAGTAATAAACGTTTGGCGCGATTAGTGAATACTTAAACTTATCAACGATTTTTTGTGGTCAGTCACTTTTTGAGTGCTAGATGTCCCCTGAATGGTACCCTGGTCCCAGAGGTTTTTCTTGAATGGAGGTTAAACCTGGTGGACCCAGAAAAAGTGTCCTTTACCCTTAGCAGGGTGTGTTTCTTCAATAGAGGTAACAAATACAAAGATTATGCGAACATTTTTTCGGGACCAAATTTTGCGTCCCTTGAATAGCAGCAGCTGTATAAGTTCCACTAGTTGTACTTGCACACACCAGCACTCTGTCTCTACACCGGTACTTCGACTTCTACACTTTCCCATTAACAGACAGTTTGTATGAATGGTCAAGATGTGTGATCCTCGCTACGGAATGACACCTGGTGGATAAATATATCCCATATATATAATGCACAAGCACAATTATCAAGGCATCTTTATTCAACCTTTATAAATTCAAAAACTACTGTTTCTGCAAAGGGGATGCCATCATGCAAGACGTAAAATAATAAAATATATTAGTAAATTAATATAATTATAATAATTTTATCTCTGGAGCTGACATATTTTGGTCCCCATACATGATGCAACTACCTGCATTTTAAGAACGGCTGACCAGGCCAACTATCACGCAGCGCTTCTTGGTCTCGTCACGCAACGCACACTCGTGGGTTCTCGTAAGTTGATTTTTTGCGGCATCGACTGTATATTTCACGAACTTATGGCGAAGAGAAAGCTGATAATTGACTGTGATGCTGGAGTTGATGATGCACAAGCTATAATTCTTGCTTTGTCACACGAAGATGTTGAAGTACTGGCGATCACTTGTGTTGTGGGCAATACCTTGATCGACCAAGTCTGCGTCAATGTCCTTAAGGTACTCGAACTGTGCGACAGAACAGATATTCCTGTCTTCAAAGGTGCTGCTGGGCCGTTAGTTGGTAAGGAGTTGTAAAAGCCAAATTTTCATTGGCTCAACTGCATATTTAGGGTCTTAGAACGAGTAGAGATGTCTATTCTGTTTGAAAGTTCTTTACACCACCACGCCAACACACCACCACCCAGATATACACGAATTGACCCAGTCCTCTCCAGGCCCCTCCCCAGCCCTCGTTCAAAATGTGGGTGTGGCTTTGGAGACTATATGTAGTCTTGCATGTATTACAAACCCATAACAGCAAGAGATGCCAACGACTGGAGATAAAAAATCTGGAGACTCTCTTTTGCATTACCCCCTCTCCCCACAAAATGTCAACGATCACCCCTCCGGTGATAATCTCAAATTGACAGAGTTCCCAAATTGCAACATGGGGTAGCTCAGGACATTATAATAAATGAAGTCATACATAGGTACAGAACATCAAAGTTATAATAATCTTTGTCAGTGATGAAATACTCAGAAACCTTATAAGGCCATCCTCTTTTTTTCTCCATTTACCGTCGTCCGACCAACCCCAATTTTTGGTATTTTCAAAAAATTAAAGTAACGACGCAGTTACACCCTTTTTCACTTAAAATAATTCTTTTAATCTGAAAAATGAGCTTAGTAACAGCATAGAGAAAAACAGGAACAAAAACATGAACATTTTTCACAGTATATTGTAATTTTGTTAATCCAAAATATGTGAATGTTAACTTTTACCAGGGCCTACTATTCCAAGACTTCTTGTGACTTTCTTTTTAGGTTTTTTTTTTGTTTTCAATCGGACCTACCGACCCAATATCAGGAAACGCATTTGATGGTAAACGAAGAAAAAAAAGGGGATGGCCTAATGAGTCAAAGGATGTTTCAAATTTTGGAGGAAAATGGGCTAAATTCCAAACTAAAGCACAAAAAAGCTCAAAAGTTGATTTTATGCAGGATATTCGGTGACCTATACGGGAGACTGGGGGACTGGTGCTATATCTTGGAGTCTCCCTGATAATCTGGGAGAGTTGAAATATATGAAACCTTTCTGGGGGAGGGGGAGGGGGTGTCATATGTCCCTGCTATAAATTTTAAATATATTCATTTTGCATAATTTGAGGAGTAGGCCATGTCCCTGTCGGTATTTAAGCCATCTTTATGTTCTTTGTCGCCATTTCATCTAGTTTTATGTCATTAGTTCAATGCCATGTCGCTTGTGGAAATTTTACCCCATACTAGCAGGGCCTCATAAAAAACCACCTATTCCAAAATACGGGGTAATCTGCAAAATCTTTGTCACTGATGAAAGATGAGTAAAAATGCAATTTTTTTTAATTTTGTCAAAATTTGGGGCTGAATTCCAGACTCACATCCAGAAAAGCCCAAAACCACTTTTTATCCACGAGATTCCTTTGGTATCCAGGAGACTCATGGCTCATTTATAATCCAGGAGAACAGGCATTGCAAGAAATGGGATTTTTAGAGTTGAGTCACTGGTACTGAGATTAGGTCATGCACTTTGTCTGCTGAAAATGGGTACTCTAATGGCACTCATAGAACTCCCATTAATGACTGGTGTGTAGGGCCTAATTATTTTAGAAGCCTCAAGATTCACCTATTCAGTTTGTGGATATGGGTAAACTACCCATACTCCAATCTCTTGATACAAGTATACTGCCACTTTTCTTTGAGGAAACTCCATTACTATATTTGGCTTAATGTTTAAGTATCCTGCTTATGAAAAAAAGTATAGCAATGATGATGATGATGATGATCCCCTTTTTTGAATGTGAATACATGAGAAAAAAAGGGTTAAGTAACTCACATCTCACTAAACTTTTTTGGCAGGTGAGCTGAAGAAAGATGCCTCCCATTTTCATGGTCTTGATGGTTTAGGTGAGGTTGAAGATATTCCGCACCCAGACCTTTCTTTGCTGAAGACTGAACATGCTGTGAATGCCCTGATCAGACTTACCAATGAACATCCAGGGGAAATAACATTGGTTCCTATTGGTCCATTGACTAACCTTGCTCTTGCTTGCCGACTCGATCCAACTATTTGTTCCAAACTGAAAGAGATTGTTATCATGGGAGGAAACATAGAAGCAAAGGGCAACACCTTTGTGACTGCTGAATTCAATTTCCATTTTGATTCAGAGGCAGCCCATATAGTGCTAAACGAATTCACATCTCCAATATCTTTGGTAACATGGGAAGTGTGCCTCCAACATGCTCTACCATGGGATTTTTACTATACCTACTGTGGTCTGGAGACAAAGAAAGCTCATTTTGTGAAGAAGATTACACGAGCAAGTTCAGATTTTCATAAAAAGAAGTTTGCAGGTATGGGTGTAGGTTATACAAGCTGTGACCCTTTTGCCTTAGGTGTTGCTGTTCAGCCAGATATGGTCTCTAAAGAGACAAGTGTGTATGCAACAGTTGAACTTCATGGACATTTGACTCGGGGCCAAATGGTTGTAGATTGGCGAGGACATCTTGGAAAGAAACCCAATGTCAAGATAGTACAAGAAGTTGACCTGGAAGCCTACAAAGCCCAGATGATGAAGTCTGTGCAGTAGTACATGTTTGACTTTGTTTTAACAGTATATTGATAAGTTGAACCTACCTCTTTGACTGAGCAAAAACTGCCTTATATTGTTAGATTTTTTTACACCAATATATACTTCATGATACATATAGAAAACGTTTGCTGATGGGACATTGGTGAAACAAGGCATTTGTGGCAAAATGACCGGTCACCATTTTTATTTGATCCACATAGATCATTTAAACAAATTTATTATAAACTTAAGTTAGTAGATAAGAGATGATTTAGGCAACCACTGGTATTACAGACACCCTTGAGACCATGAAATTGTAAGTGTCCTTAATAGCGAGAACCCATAGGAGAGTGCAAGTAGAAATTTCTCTAAGAACATTAAATTTTGCTTTATACAGATAATGTCTTTATATTCAGATTCACTGTAGAACCAACCTCTTGGCAGATTGGATGAGTGGGAACTACCGAAAGCAACGAACTGCATTCACCCGCTAAGATAAGACTTAAACCAGCAGTGAGCCTTGTTTAGAATAGATTAAATTCTGGCGGACATGGCAAAAGCGTGACCACGCAAGAAAGAATTTATGAGAGCTGCATGCAAAATTCGACCTGATCTTAAGAGAGGGCCTGTTTACATCAAGGTGAGGGACCTCAGGCAGGTGAGGTAACGCACTTAGGTGGGGTAACCTGCCTGACCATATAATATCTCATTTTAATTTGATCACGTTTACATGATAGGTTGGGTGACCCGCTAAGCTGGGTAACCTGGTCTGCCAGACCGGGTAAACCTCTCAGCTGGGTTGAAATTTTGCCATGTAAACGTTACCCGCCTTGCCGGGGTCGGATTCGTGATACATCAAATTCGCGCAAAATTCACTCTGGCGGTAACTTTGCATCATTTAAGGTAACAATAGAAAGCTACAGCACTGAAGGTTGCAGCAAGAGCAGCAAGTGAGTGTAGAAGAGCATTAATAGCCAAAACAGGTGGTTTAGGAGCTTAGCAACCATTCAATAATCTTGAGAAAGTGCATCTCGGGATGGTGGGATTGTAAGATTGCATGTAAAGGAGGGATATTTTTTAACCCCGCCCCACCCCACCTCCATGTAAACAGGCCCTTAATTGGTTCCTTTCTATCAACTGGGGATATTCGGGCGGATCCAAACCGGGGTTCCGTTTTTTAGGTGATCCACACGACCCCCAGCCCCAACCTCTTCTAAATCTTCTCCTGAGTAGCTCCCTCTCCCCAAGAAGGCCTCTTTAATAAGGTATGAAGCTTGCAAGTGGCAACATCGAATGGCTAAATGTTTTTAATTGGAAACTCCTTGTTGATTTTCCCTGTCGCGCCTTTCCCAAGAAATGAGAACAAAAGAAGTTATGTGTAAACTTAAAATTCGATGATTTCGCAGAAGTTTCTGAAGAAAACAGTAGTTTTAGTCACCGAAGTGAGTGACTGGTTAACCCCTGGGCCAAGCCATTGTTTGAATAATAAATTCATGCTCATCAAATTAATGAATTGAAAAGATTCCATATTAAATTGAAAAGCTCAGGTTTTTTGAAATACCTCTTTAAACACCAGTCAGCGGGCTGAATGTAAGCGCTGCCAATGTCAAAGATATTTGAGAGATGAGCAACCCATTGTGGAGAAAAGTAAGTGGCAGGTTTTGATAAGCTTCGCAATAGAACTCTGTTGTTGTCGAGTGTGTGGACATTCATTTAGGCACAGAATTGCGAGTTTGTGTAGCTTTTTTCAAGAAAACGCCATTTTTTTGCCTTTTCCGCAGGGTGCGGCATTTTGGCACATTTTTAGACCCATAGGTGGCTTCCACCGTGGGGTATAAGCAACTTGATGGCAAATACGCGGCAAATGTCTGGGAGGAAAAGGAAAACTTCAAAAACCTTTCCTCACATCAACCATCTTGGGGCGCCTGTGTACGTTCAAGTGTCTGCAAAATTCTTCCTGCCTCTGATTGGATAGCTTGCGAAAAGAAACGTTTCTCCTCGCTCATTTGACTTTCTCAAAGTCCTTCGCATCTCCTTCCCGGTTCCGCTGGAGAAAAATTTTGAGCTCGACTTGTGGGCAAGTCTACTAGCTCATCGCCTTCATCGCCGCTGGGGGACGTTTCGCGAGGAGGAACTTCTGCGACTCAGCGACAGTTCCATACCGATGACGTAAATCAATGTTTACAAAAAAATTTTACTTTCCTTCAGGTCGATTTTGGTATTAAAAGTGTTGTCTTCATCTGCGAACGAGCTCCAGCAAAACTCAAACGCTTCTTCTAGAGAAGAATATATTCCACAAATATTAACTGTTTTGTCATAGATTCATAGCGTTTACATTTGGCATTTGTAGCCTTTTATCTTCTGTCAATGATTCGTAATCAATAGTTATATTATGGAGATCGAGGAGGGTGTTATCCGGATAACAGGATAACACCCTCCGAGATCTCCATAATTCTTCATATGATACGAAAGCCGAATTCGATAATTGTTTTATGATTCATTCCAAATAATTCCTAGTTTAAAAACAAAGCTAAAACATGCTTACCCCTATCGATCGATGTTAAGTTCACCTTCGATAGTGCACGTTTAGGGTCGTTCAGCTCCGCAAATATTCTCCAAACAGTAGATGTCGCCCTTCGAGTTGTGTTCTTGCTGTTCTTGCCATATTTTTAGCTATAATTTCGCCTATTTCTTACTCTTGAAACGAGTGAAATGTTACCCTGGGTGCCAGAGATTTTCCTAGCGCGGTTCCCGGTTTCTGTCAAGTGTTCGGCCAACACCAAAAATTTCCTCTGCACGCGAGAAAAACCTCTGGTACCCAGGGTAGTGGAATGTCCGCCATTTTTCTGTTTTCACAACCTCGTCCCCAGGTCTTCTCGGTTAACGGTGCTTTAACCTGCAAGAACGCGGTAATTTTGACCTTATTCCCTCGTTAAACACAAAATTCTTCCAAATTTGGTCATCAGTAACTGGTTATGGTGAATTATGCGTGTGCTTTCAAACCTAATCGCGTCTATTTGGACCCGCTCAATATGTCAAATGCAGGCGACTTTTCCTGGAGTTGAATTCTTAAGGATTTTGTTTTATTCAGGTTCAAAAAGGGGAAGAAAAATTTGTCGTCGTATGTCCACGTCCTCCATAAAACGGAAAATTCGGAGGTTTCACGTCGTAGTCGTGCAGTGGACGTCAAAGAAATGTACTTAAAAGCTTGATGAACGTGCAGGATTCCGGACAGATTTTACGTCATGGGGACGTTTCCCTGTGACCTAGCGTGAAGGTTGTTCTTGCAGGCTTCTGATTGGACACCTATTTTAGGAACAGCCGTAACAGCTAGAGGATAAAAAAAGAAAAGAACTCTACCCAGTGGACTGTGAGGAAGGTTTGAAGAATGCCGCAAGTGAAACTTGTAGTGGTAGGTGACAGAGGGGTTGGAAAAACCAGCTTTCTTATTTGCGAAACAACCAGAAATTTTCCATGCAATTACGTCCCAACAGTTTTCGACAATTATGCGGCAAATATTATGGTCCGTGGGTTTCCATTCACGGTATCACTCTGCAATACAGCAGGCCAAGAGGATTACGATCATCTGAGACCGCTGTCGTACCCCGAAACAGATGTATTCGTTGTGTGTTTCGATGTGGCAAGTCGAAGTTCTTTTCAGAGCGTGTCACAGAAATGGGTTCCAGAGGTTCGCCATTTTGTTCCAGAAGCGGTAGTTCTGCTCTTGGGGACCAAGACGGATCTTCGTAGTGCCAAGTAAGTTAAAAGAAAAAGAAACTTACTAATGCTTTTCCCATGTAGTGGGTATTGGGGTTGGTAGAAGGTCTATACAGTTTTGTTCATCTTTTGACGTTAACCAGTAGTCAAAAACTAGAAAAGCGCCTCACGGTCAGTGATGTTGCCAAGTTTGAGAGTAGTGACAGGTTGAAACGAGTCGCGAAAATTATTTTATAGACGTTTGTATGGTGGTGGGTAAGTTGGTGCCCCAACCTGGTCAGAGGGAACTGGCTCAATGTTTGTTGAATATGTGCTGCTGGCTTCTCACAACCCCTACCCCATTATAGTGTGCCAATTATATATAGACCCTGTCTTGGTCACTTTAGCACAAATGTAATTTTTGCAATCCCAACTTATTCACTTTCGCTTAGTCACTTTCTGTCACTTATTTAACTTTGAACCTTCCCGTGTGTAAATCAATACCTTCCAGTATTTTCTTGCTCCCAAAATTCCCGAAAACTTGCAACCCCATTCTAGTAACTCTATTGAAAATGTAACATCCCCATTAAACTATTATATTGCAGTGGAACCTCTCCTTTGGGACACCTCTGTTCAAGGGACACCCCCATTATTAAAGGGGACAGTAATCTGGTCCCGAAAAAAATGTATGTTCATATAATATAATCCTTGTATTTGTTTCCTCTATTGAAGGGACAGTCCTACAATGGAGGACAAAAATTATAGAATTTGGGACTGGGTGAAAAAGCCCTTCCAAGTGATTGTTACGTAGGACTCTGCTGCTAATGACAATTTTTTTTATCTTCTTTGGGTTCATCCTGTCGTCCCTCCACTCCCCCCCAGCAATGTTGTGGGCAGAAAAAGCAGTCATTCCACCCATTTGCTCAAAATTCAACTTTGTTTGGGGTGGGAGGGAAGAGGTCGCTAGTTTTACTTATACCACTGAAAAGGTGGCAACACTTTTGACCTCCACTGTAGCCTCTACTGAAGGAAAGGGACATTTTTTCTGCGACCCAAAACACGGATTCAACCTCCATTCAGAGCACACCTAAGCACTCAAAAGGTAACTGAGGTTCTACAAGGAACTCCTCTCAGGAACTTTGTGGCTTTGTAGAATTATACATTTATCTTCCCTTGCTTCAGAATAATTCTTGCGAGTGACCATCTCTTGTAAGTGGTTACCAACTCTTCACATTTTTGGTGGTCGCTTACATGAGGTTTAACTGTTGTTTTTTCCCTTTCATGCAGTAACATATCTGATGATGGGCCCATCGTGACAATGAGAGAAGGACAGGATCTTGCAGCATCTCTTGATATTGCATATGCAGAATGCAGTTCTCTGTTAAATGATGGTGTTCATCAAGCCCTCAACACTGCTGTTGAGTTGACCGTTTTGTTCCAAAGACAAGTTAATTCAAGGAAAGGATTTTTAAGGAGTAAAAGCAGAAGATGCAAATCAGCAAATGAACAAGAACCAGTTCCTCCTGTTCTTCCTCCAGGTACTGTTAATCCTGGGAGAGACTGCGAGTTACTCTGAAATGAAGGTCATGGGGAGGTGCAAGGGATACTTTTCAGCTTGAAATTCACAATTTTAAGGTTCTTGTGGTAATAAAATGTAATTTTGTTACTTCTTTTCTCAACAATGTTGGGAGTCTTTGGCCAACAATGTTGCCTCCGTTTGCACAGGGCTTAATGCTGATGGTACTCAGCTTTAAGTGTGTCAATATCCCCCTATAAGACAGATGTTGCTTTCAAGTCAATGTCTCATTAATTTTCATCTATCAGGAAAAGGACTTACAGTCTGATAGTGATACTGTGATTAGCATAAAGTGTTTTCAGTAGTGTATTTTTGTGGATTTGCAGGGTTTTTTTGGGCAAACAAATTTTTCTGATTCGAACACACATGTCCAATATACACAAACGGATACAATTCGTCAAACTGATGGTCCATTGGTACCAATGGTAGGATTGGTACCAATAGAAAAGGATGTCATTCCAATGGTTCTGTTGGTGAATATGCATCTCATTAAGGGGACTTTGATTATTTTCCCATGTGACCTGGCTGGGTACAGGGCAATTCGGATGGTCCATTGGTACCAATGGTACGATTGGTACCAATGGAAAAGCACCCTATTCGAATGGTTCTATTGGTGAATATGCATCTCATTAAGGGGACTTAGATTATATTCTGATCATGAATGTATTGGTATCTATACTGGAGTAAATTTTTATTATATTGTATTTGTAGGTTTTGCACCCGATGTTGAAGTGCTTACTTCATCATTTGCAAGTGAGTGGCACACTATGATGTCTGACAGTAGCACAGCAGATGTCACATTTATTTTTTCTGATGGCCAAACAGTGGAAGCACATAAAACTGTTCTAACTTCTGCATCCTCTATTTTCAAGAATATTTTTCTGGATAAAGTGACTCCAAGCCATGAAACGTATGGTGAAATATTTGAGGAAATATCATGGGTTTGCAAAAGAGACAACAGCTGTCCAAATCTTATCCACATGAAAGAGCATTGCCAGGGTGTAGGGAAGACAGTTATAAGGTTGCATGAGAGTATTTTAAAGAATGTTTTTATGGAGCTATTGACGTTCCTTTACACTGGATCACCAGACATTTCTAAAGATGAAGACATAAACTTTGTGAAAGAAATCCAGTCTCTAGCTATTAAATTTCAGTTGAGCTGGTTGGCAGAGTACTGCTCAAATATTCTTGAAGGAGAATCATATTTGAATCCGAGTATTGGCACGTGGATTAATGACAACACAGGGAGTGCTGCAAAGAAGCTGTTTCTCAACAAGTCATTACAAGCTGATGTCAAGTTCCGTGTTGAAGGCAGTGTGGTTTATGGACACAGGGTTATATTGAAAGCAAGATCAGAGGTCATGGCAGCCATGTTGGGTGGAGCATTCATTGAGAGTGATTTGGACACAGAGGTAATAATATTTAAACACAATGTGGGAATAATACTTTGGGTCATGATGTCCTTGTAATAAACAATAATAAACAGAGGTGGATCCAGGAGTTTCGGGTGGGGGGTCAAACTTTCGTTCAGAAAGTGAAATTGTTGAACTTTTTTTGTGGCAAATTACTTCTCCCACACACATCCCACATCCTCTCCCACCAGTTGCGGTTAAACATTATAATAAGGGGCCAAGGAATTATTCCTTGGCCCTTTATCGCGTACTTGAATTCTACTCGTAAAGGATGCACCCTTGGAACATACTCTTCTTGCGCTTGGTAACAACGATTGAGAGTCCTGAGCAGAGGCGAATAGATCATAGGAGGGTTCCCAAAAACATTATTACATTTTTTAATATCCCTGGAATTTAGTTTAAGTGGCAAAATGCAATGCGCATTTCATTAAAAAAATTAGCCAGTTAAAAAGTGATATACAATCCTGTGGATGTAAGAACTTCAGTCTCAAACAAGCGTCAGGTCTGATAGGGGGTCCAGACTCTCCGGACCGTCCCCCTGGATCTGGCACTGATAAGGACAAGCTTTATATGTGAAAGTCATTACTGTAATTATATAGATTGATATAATCTATGAAATGCAACATCTTATTAAACATGCTGATAGTTAGAAGCGAAATAGTGCTTATAAGAGTTCTGACAAAATTGTTTAAGCACGCCAGTTATCAGAGGTTATGTTGTGAATTAGTTGGTCTGTGGAACTGCAAGTTTACTGAAGATGTAATAAACTGCACATTGACAATTAAATTGGTCATTCCTTTGACAGATCAAGATTGTGGACACATCCCTTGAAAGTTTCTTGGCCTTACTGGAGTATCTTTACACTGATCATGCCCCGATAGAAGAGGGTGATTCTGTGGAAATAATGGTTTTAGCTGACAGATTCTGTCTGCCAAGGTTGGTGACTTTATGTGAGCTTTACATCACTAAAAAAGTGGATGCCACAATACAAAAGAGGGTGGCTGATGGCACGAGTGATGTCATAAACCTCCTACTTACATCTCAGGTAAGATCAACTTTCCTTTACTTAAAACATTTATTGTAGAAGATAGGCTTATAAGTGGCTTACTCTGCTTTACAAACATGCTCCCCTAATACTTGCCAGATGAAGAAGCTACTTAAGGCTATTTGCTCTTCAACTGGACTTTCTGAAATGCCCTTGATATTTATTTACCATTACAGCAACCCTTCATATATGAACCCATCATTATTGTTATCAATGTTATGATTCGACAAAGTTTGATGTCCATTTCAAAGAAATTTTGAAAACAAGTCTACATTCACCCTTGGAATTGGTGTGTGTGTGTGTTGGGAGGGGGGGATGTGGCTAGTCCATAATGAATTATCCTTTCAGGGGAACTGTAACTGTCATTCCAGTTTAAGACATGTGACAACCTCTCCAGTGCAATGCCATACAAAACCAAAATTACCCAGAACAATAATATTACCTAAAGACTTTATTTTACCACAACTACCAGTCAGAATTCTTCATTTTGTTGTTTTCTTGATGGGCAAATTTGGGCTAGTGCTTTTTAAACCTCACGGCTGGGCCGGGATTGACAGATTTAAATAAGAAAGCAAGAACAAAATAATTCTGGTAGGATTGTTGTGCTTCGTACCAAGCCAATATTATTAGGGATTTGAATTGATATCTCAACACCAATTATTTGAAACAACTGAATGATTTTTGGCATTGAGGCCTTTTTAATCTTGCTCCCTCGGGATATCTTGCAACAGTTCCCATAATTTCACAAATTCTAATATTCAGTATGGCACTAGCCTTACTCTATTGCTGTTTCAGTACTTATTGAGCATTAGTGGCACAGCATTAATTTGAACTGACCTAAGTGTACATTGAGTATTTCAGTGTATGCAAACTAAAATTATGACTGTGATTTTTGTTTTCAGGCTCACAATGCAAAGCAGTTATCCAGATGGTGTCTTCATTTTATTGCAACAAATTTCTCAGTGTTTGAGTCAACTGAAGAATTTGATCTTGTACAAGGAGATAACAGAGACTATGTCACTGAACATATTTGGCCGCCATTATCCTATCTTAAAGCACAAGAAGAATATGAGAAGAAAGTCAAGTCTTCTAAGTTTAATTCTTCTAAGTTCAATTCTTGTAAGTGCAATATAATGTGAAATGATTAGGCATAAGTTGATTAAGTTTATAGTACACTTCCTTGTGCAGGGATTTTGATTCACATTAATTTTAAAAAACAACTCTGTTTCTGTAAATAGCCATACATTTTTACACTTTCAATCCAGGTCATCTGTACTATCCACAGTAACAGACAACAGGAAACAGTTTCCGTGGCCTAAATACAGTCTTAAATAACAAAACTAGACCGTTATCTTTGGAATTTATTTGATGTGAAGACACGTTTTAGCTTTTTGAAAAGATAATATTAAATTATATCATGACATAGAGCCCCTTTAAGAATTAATAAAAGTATTTTGTGGAGGAACTCCTATCATGTTGCTATTCAAATGAAACCTCTTTGGTGGACATTTTGATTAGTACTATTCAGTATTTCTTAAAATTTTACAAAAAGAAAAAAAATCTGATTTTTTTGTGAATCTCACATTGGATACTATACTCAGTCACTGAAAAAGGAAAATGCAGTAGTTCTATATAAGCGGCAAATTTGGGGAACTTAAGCAACCAACAGCAATAACGACAAAAACATCAGAAACGCAATGTAATATTTCAGGCATGTTTCTTGATCCTGAGAGCTATTCCTGGAAATTAAACTGATCAGTATTTAAAGAAATGTACTTTTTTACCTCTCAAATTTTAATTGAAAATTTATTAAATAGTCTTAAAAGTTTTTAAGACTGACACTTTCCTTTTCAATAAATTAAATACTGAATGGAATCCCAATTTCTTGAGGCTTCAGTTTCTCAAACCTCCCAATACAACAATAGATAGAGTTAGCCAGGGCTAAAAGCGAAAACACAAAAAATTAAATCGTGTAATGCTAAACGGGGACGACAATGAAAATGGCTTCAAGACTAATAGATCTAATTAGCAAATAAACAAATTGCACATGCAGCACCCTTTTTCTTCTAATTAACAAAGAACAAATTTGCACGTGCAGCACCCTTTTTTGTCTTTTCCTTGCCGTTGCTTTGCACGACTACAACGCTGT